AAGTTCTGCTCACTACAGTGAGCAGAAAATTCAAACAAACTTCAGCATTCATTAAGCCAACCTGAGATTTCTGAATTTAGACACAGCTGCATCTGTAATACCAATTTCCTTATAGAAAAGGAGACAGGAGTCCCTTTAATTTACACTAGAATGAATTAGGCCCACCACCAACTTATAGTAGAAAATTGGAAGTGAAACAGTGCAAAAGCAGAATCAGACCCTTGGAGTAATCTAAACTCTTTCTCTCTGTAGGTAACTTAGTTTCACAAATGATATGATTCAAATAGAATGCACTACTCTACCTCTGAAAGAAACTACTGTTAGAGACTGGTCTTTGAACTCTCCACGTTTGTTACATATTATAGATCCAAATCAATAAATATACAATACATCAAATGATATATAGTTGTGAGGTCACTCAACTTCAGCAAGCCGGAGACAGCAGATTGGATTATCACTGAATAATAAAACATTTAAAAAAAAATCCCTACACAAAGAAGGCAGTGTTAAGAGAACAGTTTCCTTTTGCCAAAGATCTGCTCCCAAAATGTATGTTCAAAGGTATCCTTTATATCTCTTCAATATATATTAATCAACAGACTTGGGAAAACTTCTGGATTTTTATAAACTGGTTTACTAATCTCATAATTGCAAGTGTAGCACCATAAAATTAGAAATAAACTAGTTTTGCCTATGATGGTCTTTACTTTAGACAAATACCCATTGGAATGCCAGCAAAAACACTGTCTCACGTTAAGAGGAAAAAAGTTAAATTGTCCTCCTTGGTATGCTGGAAATTAAATACATTGTGAGTGTATTTCAATTCAAATATAAGAAAGACCTTAAAAGTTATAACTTACGTAATACATTTTCCATATGGTACACATTTGTAAGCACCTAATAAGCTCATGAATATTACCTTAAAAATACATTTCTGTTAGGTTACAGTGTATGAGTACTGTTTGCACACAGGAGTTCTGTTCAGAGGCAATTGACAGCTGACAATATTGACAAAAAGCTGTTACCTTTTATTTCTGGTAGCTCTACACTCTTCAAAATGTAAAAAAGAGGATGAAATTTTAATTATTAAAAGTGCATCTATGGTCTAATAATGAGCATAATGATATTCAATTTCAGTATCATAGCAACTATCAGATCAAGAAGTGAGTTTAAATTTCTAAACTAAGCTTCTGACTGGAAAGCCAGCAATTAGAAAAACAACTTCATTTTCTTCTCTACAGAACAGAAGTACACTTTAGTCATCGAAGAAACATCCATTTATTTTCTAGCAACGGATTTTTTTTTGTATGTACTTCCTTCTCAGCCTATCAAAAGTTGTTGCTCAATAGAGCAAAGGTGGGATTAATTGCACTGATGTGTAAGCTAAGTTTCCCTGATTATGGCTTTATGGGTCTTGATTGTTTGTTTCGTAACTCCCTAGTGGGGGTTTACCAAAGTGCTGACTTGGGGGTAACTCCAACCAGAGTCCAAGACAGAAGAAAACCAGAGGTCTGTCAATGCCTTCTCAGATGCAACGTCAATAAAAGCAAAGCAGAGCCCAGAGGGCACTGGGAGTTCCAGAAACTGTGACAGAGGTCTTGCGTGTTGCAGAAACTGATTCACTCTTTTGTTAGGAGAGAGGAGGAACTTACTTATTGCCTGAATAGAAATAAAACATGAAATTATAGGAACATCCTTTTACTCACACTAATTGTATCAATTTAACTAAAATTGATGCAGAGACCCAATGCAGTTAAATTTGTACAAAGCCCAATGAGATACATTTCTATTGCCTGAAAATCAGATAAAGATGTTTAATTTATATGCGCAAGTTTACTGAGCCATATATATTCCAAATTAAGGGAATCTGTGCAGGGTTCTGCTATTTGAAACCCACAATTTTGTTAATCTAATTAAAATTTCTTCTAACTATAGCCTCAGAAAGAGTAGACCCTAGAATATGCCTGTACTGCAAGTGCATTTCAATGGGATAACCAGGACTTCATATCAGAAAGTAACATCTCTGCTTTGTACTACGTAGCAGTCTCCTTGTCACTATGAGGGTCAACTAGCCTAAACTTGTTAGCTTACAGGAAAGAGATTTTGTGTAATTTTCCAATGAGGATGAACACTTTAGTGTTCAACATCACAGGCTGAACATAAACAACACAGTAAAATGCAATTGCTATTCATCAGAGAACATCAGGACTCAAGAAAAATAAAAAGGAATAACCAGGTTTAGATATCTGTGGACAGTAGGTATGCTGGAATAAATATGCAGCAAAAGCTGAACTAGACAGCACCATCTAGAATTGATCAACAGTTGAGTTTTTTTAACATTTTTACTGTTTGATTTTCCTTGCTTGGGACTTTTGTGTGTGTGTGTGTGTGTGTTTTTTTGTTTTTTTTTTTGGCTTTATTGTGCTGTTCCTTTGCTGGAGTATGAAGCTGTTTCTGTCTCCTCTGGAATGTAGCTTCATTCTGTAGACATTAAAAGACACACTCTTAAAGAGTCCCTTTCTGACACCAGCTAGAAATAAAGTTGTATGCGTTATATTTCAGTATATTTTTGTCCTTTTGAGGATATTGCAGCTCACACTGTTCATTGAAAAGCCCTACTACTTGCATCTTCTGCAGATTTTGTGTTGGAAATCTGTTTGTGTCACCTAAAGATGTGCCTGTCAACAGACAGAATGGAGGAAAATTTTTAATGTGGGCTGGAAATTTGGGAGGTATTTGGTGTTTGGTTTCAAAAAGAAATATAGCAGTATAGAGCATTAGGAAGCCAGTCATAGGGATTAGCTGCTAGGTATGTGTCAATTGCAACCTTGATTTAAGGCAGAATTAGAATACAACTTCTTTGTAAGATTTTCTGCAAATGCCATGCCTTGGAAAGAATTTTAGCTTCACTGTATTAGAAACGAAGAACTGCTCTTCTTCTTCAGGTTGCTGTGCAGTCCAGACCAGTATTTTTGTATAAATGGTTGCATCTCCCAGATTCTTTTCAGGGATACAAAGCATGCCAGTGGAGAAGAGAGACATCAGGCCTACAAGGTAATCAGCTTAGCTCTCAGGACTGCAAAATACTATCACAGCCCAATGGAATCAAATGGCAAGTCCTTTCCTTTTCATATTCTCCATGTGAAAAAGAGGATATTAATATTTGTCCCACCCTGAAAAGCCATCAGTACTCCAGTTTGTCATTCACAGAGTACCTAAGCTGGCATCAGACAGAAGTGGCAAGGTGATGGAAAAGGCCACGCACCATGGCTGGGAGCAGCCTGTTTTGACAGCAGTGTTCATGGTACCGCAGTGCCCCACATTTGCAGTGGGTGAGGAGGGCTCAAAACCATTGTATCATTGAGGTGTAAGGATTTACAAGATGTTGATTTCTTTCCAAAGTGGGCAGTATCTCCTGTCCACGGAAGACTTGTGTGTCTGCTTGCAGATGGACTCACATCATGTTAGAATCATGCACAGCAGCATCAGATTCATGAATGAGGAATTTGTAAACCATCTGCAGAAGGAAGGCATCAGCATACATGGAGGGTCCCTGCTACTCATTATACACTAGGGACACCCATTGCCCAGTTACCACTTGCTGGACAAACATCTCAGCAGCCCTGCTGCTAATGCAGTGTGTTCAATGCAAATTTTATCTGAAGGTCACTTATATTCCACTCCTTTCACTGAGGTCTTCTCAGCTGAACTGGAAAATTGTGGCCAATGGTTTTATGCAGGGAATAAGTCTCCTCTGTCTCTAAATGACAGAAGTGCAGTTCCTTATGTACTGATTGGCAAAAATGCACATATTTTCTAAGGAAATGATTTTCATTGGAGAGGGAGACTTACCAGTTAAGCAAACATCAGCTGCACCTATCAGCTGAATTTTTGATGAGCTTGTGGGGGGCATGAGCTTGTACCAGAATACAGCCCCAGGAAAGGGAAATTAACTTCAAATATATTTATGTTCCTTCTCAGCCTCCTGTTTCTTCCTTTTTCTCCTGTTTCTGTAAACAGCCTCCTCAATTATTCCTTAATGACAAGTGAAAATATTTTGTGCTGAGTAAGGGGAAAGGGAGTTGAAGAAATCCCAGACATTTAAATAGTGAAACCTTAATGACTTCAATCCCAAAATTTACAATCACAAATGAAAAGTGGTTATAGCTAAGAGGCCACTCTTCCAGAAATACCTACTGCCAGAGCCACCTACCTTTAGATAAAAATAATAATAATAACAACAAAAAGCTGTGGTCTGGGTTTTCCAGGCAATGCAAAGTAACATTGTATATGCTCTGATTTTCCTTTGATTCTCATCACTAATAAAATCTAGGTGACATAGAAGATGTAGCTTCCTTCAAGCTATTTCTTTACAGACTCTAATGCACGGGATGAAGAGCAGTGAAGGCCCAGGTGGCAGAGGGAATGATCAAACTGCTTTTTCTCTGCCTCCAACTAACAGAGATTTTATTCACAAAGCTCAGAAAATTATCTTTAATTTTTCAGCAGGGCAATACGCTGGCAATAATATTTCAGCAATTTCATGAATTTTGCCAATGACAATCTGACTGTTCTGAGTAAATTAAAAGCTTGTGGTCTGCTGCGCTGTATGTTAGCTTCAGAGAGGGAGAAAATACAGTGAATACAAGAAACCCTGCTTACACTAGCAATAAAAGCTGGGCAGAAGTTTTAAACTTAAGAAAGTTGTCTTGCTATCAATATATATATATAAACAAAACTATAAAAATACAACCTTTAAAGTTAATTTTAAAGTTTTAAATATACAAAAGCAGCAATAAAATATTCCAAAATCAAAACAGTTTCTCCAATAGGCAACGAAGGGTGTCAAAACAACTCACACAGAATAGGAGCTTTTCATTAATATGTGCTTTCCTTGAGGAAGATAATCTGGGGAGCCCAGATGATACAGGATTGGTCAGAATTTTACAGTCACCTCCGCCCTGTGGTCAATATATTCTTCCGTTTCACGGTTGGTCGTCCTCATTTCCCTCTTGCTGAGGACAGCTGGTGGATTATTATGTAGACTGTACCACACAGAAGACTTAACTCTGTCTTCTAGTATGGGGACGCTCTGGCACTTACAATGCACTCTAATTTTATTTTGTCTTTCAGTGCTGAATACCACAGGGTAAGTAGCACAATGCTGAATGCACCTTAGTTCAGGAAGCTTAGCTACTGTTAATGATAAATATCCTTTCTTCACCTTTTAAACATGGAATGTTGTACAATTACACTGTATAATTTTTAAAAAGAGGAAATAATTGATATTTTTTTTCCTAATTCTGCACTGGCTGCTATCTGAGAGAAATTTGTAACACAAATTTCTAATGGCACATCTGAAGAGGAGAGATCTTGACAAAATATCTGCAGCAGTTATCAAATGTTTGACTCTAAAAGTTTATCTACAGTAGCCTTTGTCTTAGTACTTGCCTGATGTGTAACAGTTTAAATAGAACTGGATGGAGACTAAATGGCAACTTGCCACAGCTTTCCCTTTGTTGTAGAGGAGGAAATCCAAGAAGGAAAACAGAGAAAAAATTCCTACTTTATCTCTTTTCACACCTCTTTCCTTATCGAGCTTTAGCTCAATCTGTTTTCTAATTGCTTGGTGGATTTCATTGATGAACTGGGTATTGTTTGTGTGATATTTAGTCCTAAGCTCCCTAGTTTATCTGAATCTCTCTGCTTAGATTTTGATGGGCTGTGGGGACATTCACTGTGATGGATTTGCTTAAGGACAGATTTTCTATACTGTGTCAAGTACAAGAAGGGTAATTGGGGTGGAGGGCACCATGCAGGCTGGAACTGGACCCTGCCTCCTGATGCTGTGGACCACCATCAGAACATGTCAAGAGCTGCTTTGTAGCCTTGCAGTCCTGGAAATCCCTTTCCTATAAAAAAAACCTCCCAAATAAAAGAACCATCTATGCTGTGATCTGTGATGGGATTTTGGTATCGTGTCAGTTCATCTCTGCAGTATTTTGTAGCACCATAAAGACTATACATTTATATCTGCTCCTTGCCCTGCAGCATTTTCAGGGTAAGTTAGAAGAAGAACTGAATGAGATGACAGGTTGTGGTCATAAGAGATTTGCTGTGGTTAAAGGAAATAGCCTTCCAAGAAATAACATAGTTATACAGTACACCAGTTTATTGGCATTTACACACACTGTTTTGCAAGAGTGGGGATGACAATGCCATGAGCAAGTTCATTATGAGTTTTTTTTTGTTATCCTGGTATTTTCTGAGCATAGTTGCATCTAGCCATCCCTTCTATAGATCCCCGTACCTAGAGCTGGTCTCCTTTCAATTCAAAGGGATACAGAGTAGAGGATACTTCTACACTCAGACAAGGTGAACATATCCCACCTTTTACTCACTCTCAGAACTTTTCCTGAAGGAGTAAGGGCAAATGGGAAGAGACGGAGTCAGATGTGGATGAGGTCCTGGGTCTGGGCAGTAATTCAGTAAGAACACCTAAAAACATACCTTGTTCCTGACATCCTTTCTTAAACTGTTTCATTGTGTGTTTTTTTTCTTGGCAGGCTCAGACAAAGACCAACTGGTGGCTTGAGAACATGGGATCCTGAAACAGGTAACTGCTTGTTCTTAGTGCTATTGATGTCCAAGGCTGGTTTTGAATATACTATATCCTTTCCTTACTTTAATGCGTGTGTTTCAGCTTACCTCACCAGATGTGATTTTAATAACAATTCAAGACCGTTTTGTGACTGGACCCAACCTTGCAATGTGAACCAGGGAGTGTGGATACGAACCAAGCATGACACTCCAACTGATGGAACGGGTCCTGATGGAGACTATCCTGATGGAAGTAAGTGCTTGTTTGTGGTACTGTTAATTTCCTTTTGAAGACTGCCTGACTATCTTCTTCTTTCTATTTTATGAAGAGATTCATGAAATCCTTTGAAATGTGTCAATTTGGTTGACACATGTCTTTGGCTTTTCACCATGCTCAGTCACAGGTAAATGAAACTAAGTTGTACCATCACGGGCTGGAAATCTGCACTGGTAAGTGCAGTAGAAGAAAGCAGAAGAATGTTAGTTACACCATGCTTAAGACCTCACAGAGAAGGCAATGACATGCAACAGGTCATTGTTCATGAGAAATTTTGTGGGCAAGTTACAGTGATACCTGCTAATGACAATAAATGTAATGACTGCAGTACTGACACTAGGTAATTTTCATGATAGCAAAGTTTTACAAGATCATGTCGGAAATTAAAAAATGCCTTTAAAAGGCTTGTACTCAGCTACATGTGATTGAAAATCTGAGGTCTAAAGTGCTCATGTCATCAAAAGAGTGCTTAGCACGGCTCCACCTCTATCTGTGTGAACCATTATCCTTGTACCAGCAGTTCTATTTATAGGAAATCAGTCTGCAGTGATATTTTTTTCTGTAATTATCCCAAGATTGGAATGGTCACCTTCTATCAGACTCAGTTAGTAAGCATTACTTAGTTAGATTAGATTAGAACAGTATCAGTTTGGATTTTCAGTAAGGAATTTTTACATTTTTAGTATTTTGTTGAAAGAAGAAGTGAAATACTTTAAACAGAGATTCACACAACTAGATAATAATGTCCTTTTTTGTGGAGAAATACTCTACAATGTAGAAATGGTCTTTTTTCATTCCTTTCCACAGTCAGATGGGAGAGACTTGACTAACTGCATTGAGGAAATGTAGCTTTGATCTTAGTACAGGGAAGTGATGACAAGCAAAACCGTCAGTGGGGCACTTTATCTGGATGTGCTGTCTCTTGAAAGATGTTTAAATTTTGTTCATGATGCCAAAATAACTGTTCGTGTGAGATAAATTTTATTTGCTTTCTAATTTACACTCCACTTTAGATAGCTATAGAATGCTAACTATTGCAACGTAAATTACAAATCCCTTCTACTTTGCTTCTTTGTTAATGTTGATGCACTTGAATTCTTCCAGAGTTGTACTTTGGTTTTAAGTTACACCTAACAAGTTTCAAAGATTCAGCCTTATTTTTATTTTTTTTCACTCTGCAGAAGGCTATTTCATCTACCAAGAAGCAAGTAATCTGATCCCATTTGACACTAACAGACTTGAGAGCCCAGATGTTGTGGTTTCTGGAAAAATATGCATAGACTTCTGGTACTATATGTTTGGGTCAGAAGAACTGAATGAGTTGAGAGTGATTATCCAAGACAGCACAGGGGAGTCTGTGGCATGGAGTCGGAAGGGAAACCAGAGTTCCTCTTGGAATTACGGTGCTGTCACTCATACTTTTTCAACACAAACAAGGATAAAGGTAATATATTTTCAGAATAAAATTTTTGTGCAGTGTCAGCATTAATGTTTGTTCTCCCTTTGCAAGCTGTAAAAGATTGTATATGTAAGCTAGAAAATATAACCAAGAATTTATTGTTTTACGTTTTGTAAGTATAATACCCAAATGCTCTGTGCCAATGAACCAAGAAGAAACAAACAACCCCGAGTTTTATTAGTGTTTTTAGCTAATGGATAAACTATATTTACTTTTCTCTCTCTTTCCTTTCTTCCTACCCTCCCTTCTTCCCTCATTTCATCATGATGACAAGGACTTTAGGTGCCTGTGGGATGCTGCCTACGTTCAAGTCCTCTATAGAATCCAGAAAACTAATTTTAATAAGTCATTTATCAATCAATAAAATAAAATAAACAGAGTGCAGTGTTTCATCAAGTCCCTACCTTGCTACAGAATATATATTCTAGACTTCCGAGGAAAGCTAGGAAAACTGTTCCACCCTCAGTTCACCTGATGTCCTTAGAGATAGACCAGACAGAATATTTTGAAAACAGGTTGAGGGAAATTCTGTCATATTTGTCTGAGTAATTGTTGCAATGATTCCCTTTACATCCTGGCTAGGTCATTTTTGAGGCTGTCCGAGGACTGACAGAGTATGGGGATACAGCACTGGACAATGTGAGAGTAAGAGATGGATCCTGTGGTGAGTTTTATATTTGTGCCTTAGCATACACTCCTTCCTCATCTCTGTTTAAGCTGTTGACCATTATTCAATTCCATATACAATATCAAAACTCCTTGTAATTCCAAACCACAAAAGAAATGGTAAAAGCTTTACAGCTCACTTCATTTAAATGTTACCTGTTCTGGTGTAGATTCTTCCCAAATCTTTCCTCACCACCTTGAATGTAGAGAATAAGCTATCTCTGCAAATGTGATCATTTTCACAAGGTTCAACAAACTTTAAGTTTGAAGTCCATCTTTAAACCCAGTCAAGGATATGAACATTGGTCATGAATTACAGATTAAATGATCTAATCAACATTTTACAGCAAATCTCTGTTCATATGAGCTCAGCAAATAAACAGAACTTTCATATGCAGCACAAATAAATAAATAAGTAATGGTGACTCAATAATGCTGAATTGCAATACCATTTCTGTCTATGAATCAGCAGTTTGAACTCGATTCCTGATCCTGTAACAAAACAGCCAAGACTTGCACAAACTGTGAATGACTTGGGTTCAGAAATGAATTACTGTTTCATCCCATCTGTACTGTTATGCATGCAAAACTTATAAAATGTGAATTCTACAAGGAACCTGCTGAATATGGTATAGAAAACGTCACTAGGTATAAATAGGTCTCTGTGAAACACTACTCATATAATGATGATAAAATGGTTCAAATTACACTAGGCAGGATTTTTGGAGGGTGAAGAGTTCCATTCGTGTTCACACCCTCAGAACACGTAATTTTCTTTAAAATTCTGTGCATAATACTTGGGGCTCTTTTGGAGAGCCAGCTGTTCATTTTTTCCGGACTCATTACCACACAATTCAGCCACTGGATGGTGCACTAAATGTAATTCCGAGAGGCGAGAGAAGTGCTCCTCCCTCTGTTCAACTGTGTGGCTACTAATATGATCAGTTCAGTGAGTTATTAGGCCTTGTTAAAAAAAAAATTAAAAATAAATAAAAATAAATAAAAAATAAAAAAATCCTCCCAACTTTTTGCTTCTAGAAGAATGCTCGATGGAATAAACATTTTAATCAGACTCATAAAAATCTAAATATATGTCCATTTATCACATGAAAAATTAGTTTTCAAGGCAATTTTAACAATCATTCTTTGGGTTATATGTTCGATACTCATATTGTCACTTGCAGAACTTCTTCACCTTACATCTCGAGAGACAATCTTAGAAAGAGGTTTTCTTCTGTTCTGTTTCTCAGCTCTACAACAAAGTTAACTTAAAGCTTGAGAGTAAAAAAAGAACAAAAATAAATTTTTGTGCTGCACATGCAAAATGTTCAGCTGTGCCAGAGTAGGGAACTGGATGTGCAGAAGTGGGCATAAAAGAAGGAAGTGTGCAAGAAGCCAGTGGATGCAAAGCAGTTGATCCCATTTTGCAAGCAGTTTATTAAAATGTGTTTTCAGCTTTGAAGTTAGAAATCATCAAGTGAATAGGATCATTTTATACAGAGCTTTATCAGTATATACTGAACATCAGTTTATGTGAAGTCTATTGTCTTTTTCTAAATTATAAGTATCCTGCAAAACTCCCCACTTCCAGCTTAATCATATGGTGAGCACAAAAAAGTATGTAGTTGCTGTATCATAATTTACAAATCTCTACCTTGTCCTCTTATGACTTTTCTATGCTATAACTAGACTTGTTTTCTATACTATAACTAAATTTTTTATAAATAATGCTATTAGTAATGTCAATAATAAGGTTGGATGGGGCTTTTGGCAACCTGCTCTGGTGGAAGGTGTACCTGCCCATGGCAGAGATGTTGGAATTAGATGATCCTTAAGGGTCCCTTCCAACCTCAACCATTCTATGATTTCATGAAACATGCATCCAATTGTAAATACACTTACAGTTCCAGAGAAGCATGCAGGGACAAGCTCAGTCACTGTCACCAACCTAACAGTCAGATGAGCTCCTAAGAGCTCAAAGGACCTACATGTACTCAGTTTTAAATATAGGCCATTCCACTCACTTCAGTGAAAATCTTCTAAATTTAAGCTGGTGAAGAGTAAGTTGAAATTCATGTACATTGGTTAGTATGTAGTGTTTATGGAGTAATGTTATAACTCATTGTTACCTTATCTTCTCTATTGACAGATGCAGTTTCCACCCCTGTACCACCAACACCTACACCAACAGAACCTACACCATCTCCACTGACAGGTAATTTTATCCAGTCACATATGCTAGTCAAGGCATTTTAGAAAGGTATTTCTACCAGTGCTACTTAAATGCTTTAGTTAATTTCTCTGTGTGTTTCTGAGTTAATTTCTCTGTGTGTGTTTCTATGGCATTGCTGTATGAATCTATTTTTTTCTGTTTCTGTCCTTCCATATATAATCTATAAAATGGGGGTGACTGTGTGTTCCCACTGCACAATGCAGGTATGAGGTGGCCTTTCTGGATGCACCAATATGTTGATGAGAACATATTCCTTTTTCCCATCTCCAGAAGCAATTTGTAGCATACATGGGGATCCTCATTATTACACATTTGACAAGCAGCGTCATGACTTCATGGGCACCTGTACCTACACCCTGTCCAAGCTGTGTGAGAGCAACAGCTCGCTGCCCTACTTCAACGTGGAAGCGGCCAATGAGCACAGGGGAAGCAACACTCGTGTGTCCTACGTCCAGTACGTGGATGTCGATGTGTATGGCTACAGGATCAATCTGGGTAAAAACAGAGTTGTTAAGGTAAGGCTGAACGACACTATCACCAGTAATTCAAGAAATTGTAGTGCAATGACTACAAACATACAGTGATATTTAGGGGGCAGTCAAATACTTAGGACTAGTAGTACTATAGAGTCCTTAAAGTAAACATTGGGATTTCGGAATTGAAAGCACAGGTTAAAATGTTGTGCTATGTTGCTAGGAGGCAGGACCAAAACTGATGCTCCAGATAGCTTTGGTGGGCTAACCTACCTTTCAAGCTTCCCCCCACTCCCAAATTTATTCTGCAGCAGGAAATAAAAAGGCCCTTCATTAACTGAGGCTGAGCTGGTGGTTATTTTCCAGGCCTATACAGTGGCCTATAAAGCTGCATGCTTGTCTGTGATTTCTATTTATTCCACATAACCGCTAGCTTCACCTAATATCTGGCACTTGCCGTAAAACAGGGCCAGATGAGAGTCCCAGAGAATATCTGATGACTCTCCTCATGCCGAATGTATCATTTGGCCAGCTATTGTATTTTAAGACTTCTTTTTGGCACACTTCCATGAAGGGTGAAGGTAGCAGATACATGTTTGATTCAAAACCCACAATAAATGAATAACTCACCTTATTTGATTAACACCTTTCTTATTAAAAATAATAATAATAATAAAATTGCAGTGATCTATGTGAGATGAGATAAAGGTTTAAATATACAGTGACCTTTCCCATGTGATCTTAGAAGCACAGTGAATTTTATATCCACATTTCTCCAACAGTTCCTCTTTTATATCTTTCCGTTGTATTTACATTTTTCATTATGTATGTTCCTAAGTAAACTAAAATTTCTTATGTATATAATAAGAACAAATGTTCAAAGTAAATGTTAATTTTATTAAATTTAAAAAAAAAAAAAAAAGAAAATGAAAATGAAAACTTTATACAAGCATGTGTTTTCTGTTGTTTGGCATCTCATGTGTGAAAATTAAGAAGAAAGAGAAAAAAAAAAAAAGAAAAGAAAAAAGCTTTTTCAAAATTTGTCCAGATTTGTCCAGTCTGAGACTTCATTCTAGCTACATCTTTTAAATCTTATGCCATGTTCTTTGTTCATGCTCCTGTTGTTTTATCCAAAATTAAAAGGTCTGCCATCAGTTATTCCTGAAAGACCCTGCTAAGTTTTGGACTTTTTTCAGCTGGGTCTGATTCACCAATCTTGCTTTGACCACAGCTGGGACCTCGAAGCTAAGTATTTGCATCGCTAGGTCTTAAGGCCTTAGATCGTTTGCCCATATACAGCATTCATGTTACATAAGATTTCAAAAAACAATAACACTATGGTCTGAGTTTTTAATGCTTGTACAGGCTCACTATGCAAATCCTATGCTCAGTATAGAAACATAGTCTAAGAGGATCACCATTAGAAATACTTCTTTTAAAGTGATTTTAAGGATTGCCTTTCTCTGTCCCTGCAGGTTGATGGAGTCATTCAGGTGCTCCCTCTGACCTTGGTGCACCCTGTCAGTGTTTCCTTAAGCGGGCAGTATGTTGTGGTTACCACTGACTTTGGGCTGAATGTCAAGTTTGATGGAGATCACAGAGCAGAAATCACTCTTCCCAGTACCTATATGTCAAAAGTCTGTGGAATATGTGGAAACTATAATGGGAACAAAACAGATGACTTTCTTAACCCAGATGGAGAGATGGAAACAAACTCGGCCAGCCTTGGAAACAGTTGGCAAGTTTATAATGACTCAAGGTAGGACTCCAATCAGAATGTTTGGCCTTAGCTATTGGTTATGCAATGAGCAGTATTTTATGCAACTGTTGAATGTAGCCCAAAAATGTCAGGAACAAGGAATAAAATATATTCTTGTCAGTGAAGTTCCTTCACATATCTGGGTAAACTTTCCTAGCAAGTTTTCCTAGCAAATTCAACAGTGTTTAAAAAGAGAAAGTTTGAATATAACACCTGCAGATACTCACTAGAATTTCAGTTAGTGTTATAGTATATTAATGCTAATACTTAAAGATCCTGTTTGAACTCTTCTGAGATACTTAACAATTTATTTTATAATTACACAGTATGTTATTTAATGACGACAGATATTTAACTTTGAATGCTTTTATTTTTTGTTTGCTCTTCCTAGGTGTCTACCATGTCTAAAGCTTGTTTAAACTTAAAATAATAATAATAATAATGAATTAATGTAGGTTTTTGGGTTTTTTTTTGAAATGTTGAGCTAGCCTCCCTGAAGTTTTGTTAGGTGCAATTTGAAAAGCATCTTGGATGCAATTGCATGCAAAGTTTGCCAGTAAATTTTTACACATCATTTTTTCCACACCAGGTGCTTGCCAGATGATGGCCATACCCCAAATTGCACTGATGATGAAAAACATATCATCCAAAGCAATGACTACTGTGGTCTGGTCACTGATCCCAGTGGTCCATTCCAGAACTGCCATTCAGTTGTTGATCCACAGAGTTATTTCGATGCCTGCCAATATGATCTCTGTGAGTTTCATTTGAACAATGCGGCCCTTTGTCAAAACCTGCAGGCTTATGCGGATGTGTGCCAAGCAGCAGGAGTCCAGCTACAACCATGGAGAAATGCAACCTTCTGCCGTATGTATCAAAGACTACTGGAAATTACCATTTGTCAGAAGGATATAGTTAGGACTGCCTGAGGAGAGATCATTTTAAGATTGAAAAATTCCAGTAACACTGTGAATCTCAACTGATTAAGATAAAGATTTCAGGATTATGTGTAGTCCTCAATCTGAGTCCTTTAGGAAGCCTTTAATGAAACTACTTAAGCTGTTTCTGGATGAAAGGAAAAAAAAAAACACTTTCTAGTCCATCTTCAAATAGAGTTGAGGTCTTTTCCTTTGAAATCATATAGTGTCCCTATGTTTTTGTTTAGGAGTATTAAGTATGTCAGGGACATTTGACTTAGAGGATTTTTTGCTTTCTGGGGAAGTTGTAGCTAATTTAAGTGTCTTTGAGAAAAACAAAACAAAACAGCAACAACAACAAAGCAACAACTTGTTTTGCAAATGCTTAGTTGACATACGAGAGTTTCACCGACTCTACTTGCAGAGACACTGAGCTATCTTCTGCCATTCCCCAGAAAGTCAGCTGTGTCAGATTTAATTAATGGGAGAATGGACAGAGAATGTAATTCTGTGATCTCTGTCTGCTTAGGAAAGTAGGCTAAAATAGAGCAAGGTTATGTCATTAAAAACTGAACCGCAACATGTAAGTATGCAGAAACTGGAAAAAGATTCTTCAAGAAATGTTAATTCTGACATATTCTCACTTGAAAACCTCATGTTTAAAACCCCTAATTAGCATTTTTTTATATGTCATGTGTCTAACAAGATCTAAAAATAGAATACAGCACTTGTACATCCTGATTATTTAACAGACATTTAAAACACTGAGGAAATTAAAATATATATATATATAAATCAAGAAGCTACAAGACTAGAATAAAAGACCAGACCAATCTAGCACATATCAAGGACAAATAGAATGAGTGATATACTCAGCCCATGCAAGTGACCAAAGAAAACACCTACAAAAGTAAGAGGTCTCCTAAGAAATTTTCACCGTAAGATATTAAAAAGCTCAAAGCTCAAACTAAATTAGAGGGTGTTTAAACAGGAAACACATGCATTAGATTGCCAGACAAATCCAGGATGTCCTCAAATATTTCAGAACAAAATAGAATATGTAATTAAACAACAACAATATTTCAATAATTAAAAGTTAAACCTGTGTATTACTATTTTTTATTATACAGCACTAGCCTGTCCAGCCAACAGTCACTACGAGCCCTGTGCTGCAGCCTGCCCTGCCACCTGTGTTGACCCATTAGCACCGTATAAATGCAGTCTGCCGTGCATGGAGGGTTGCGTGTGCGACAGCGGGTACCTGCTCTACAACGACCGATGTGTGCCCAGCCAGCAGTGCGGGTGCTGGCACAATGGGCAGCACTACCCGGTGGGCTCAGAGTTCTGGACGGACAACAGCTGCTCCACAAAGTGCACGTGTCCCACGCGGGGAGGCAAAGTCCAGTGCTCCAGCGCCTCATGCCCTGCGGGCCAGTACTGTGGTGTGCAGAATGGGAAACCCGAGTGCCTTGAACACACATATGGCATCTGCAACGTCCACGGTGACCCTCACTACGTTACCTTTGACAAGGTGACGCACGACTTCATGGGGAACTGCACCTACACCCTGGCCAAAGTGTGCTCCAACAGCTCTGTGCCCTACTTCAATGTTGAGGCAAAGAACGAGCATCGTGGCAACCCCCGAGTGTCGTACGTGCGCGAAGTCCTGGTCGAGGTGTACGGAGAGCGCATTGCAATAGTCAAGCAGGAGAGGAGCCAAGTGCTGGTAAGGAGCTGGGCTGGCTCAAGCACGGTGTGTGTGCGAGGCGGGGCTGGCTTTTCTTGGCAGGGTCTTCCCTCTTGTCTGCTAAATGGGTCCCCAGAGTGCAGCAGATGTATGGCTGTGCAGCTGCAGGGGTGTCTGTGCGAGCGGGGCTCGTGGTGCTGTGGGGCCGAGGGCCCCAGAGACACCACGGTCCATTGCGGTGCGTCTGCCCTAGGTGAACGGTGTGCGCCGGACCTTGCCGGTGAGTGCAGCAGGAGGAGCCATCAGAGTGAGCACAAGCGGCCGCTACATCGTCCTGGAGACGGACTTCAACCTCAGAGTGTCCTACGACGCCGACCACTCGGTGGAGGTGAGGGTGCCCACCACCTACTCCAACCTGACCTGCGGCATGTGCGGGAACTTCAACAGCCGGCGAGAGGACGACTACATGATGCCTGACGGGCAGCAAGCCGCAGACTCCAATGCATTGGGGGAGAGCTGGAAGGTGCCCGACGGTGACCCCTCTTGCGGTGTGCCCCCACCCCTGGAACCCTGCAGTGCGGAAGAGGAGAAGCTCTACCAATCGGAGCAGTTCTGTGGCATACTGACTGCCAGCCCAGGCTTTTTTGAGAGCTGCCATGCCGTGATCAACCCCCAGAGCTACTTTGACACCTGCTCCTACGACCTTTGTGCCCTGAGTGGCAGCCAGGAGGTCCTGTGTGGTGCCCTGGAGGCCTACGCTGACGCGTGCCAGGCAGCCGGCGTGACTCTTCTCCCCTGGAGGAATGCCACCTTCTGCCGTGAGTTTCTCTACAGAGCTGAATCTTTGAATAGTTCCCTTGCTGTCTCAGGAGGCTGCTTTCAGGCGCTAGCACTCAGTTTAGAGATCTTAAATTCTTCACATATTCCCCCATGAAATATGAGCAGATAAGGTTCTACAAAATACATTTCATTAATTTTTACTGCCAGAAATATGAGGAGAACTCCGTCCTATCCCAAAAATCTATGTCAAATAACTAGCAGCAGGTCACTGATAACGTGGAATCACATGTGAGATTTGTAGGTTGTTTTGCCTTTAACTGTTTTGTTCCTTTCCAGTGTATATTTAATGACTTCCATAGTTCACATACCACCTAAGTAGTAGACCTCACGTAGAAAGCATTAGTATTCATTTGGATTTGAAGTTGCTAAACATCAAGGACATATGTTAACATTCAAGCCTTTTTCTTGTAGAGTATTTTTCGTTTTTTGCTTTCTGATTTCAAAATAAGAAAGAAATTTTATTCTCCAATGCAGTTTCTGATAAATTACTGTCACTAGTTCAAAATAATCCCATTTTGCATCCTAGCTTTATGTGAGCTGTGATCATCAATGAAGAGCCTTTTACTGTTTTTCAGCTGTTGCCTGTCCTCCTAATAGCCATTATAACCCATGCACCAGTGCTTGTCCTGCAACCTGCACTGACCCTCTTGCATCAAAGAACTGCAGCAAACCTTGTGTGGAGGGATGTGAATGCAACAATGGCTTTGTCATCAGCGGGGGACAGTGTGTGTCCATGAACAACTGTGGCTGTCTTCTCAATGACAAATATTATGAGGTTTGTTCTAGCACATAGTTATGGGGCTTTTTTTTTCACAGTTCATCATTAATTCTTAACTTTTTTAAAATTTTATTATTATTTTGTCATTTCTAACAGAAAGGAGAAGTTTTTTGGCAAACAGACTGTGCAGGCCAATGTGTATGTACTGGAAGTGGGACTATAGTTTGTAATTCCAACACATGCAAAGCAAGCGAAGTTTGCAAGGTGCAGAATGGACTACTAGGATGTTATCCATTGAACCCCAGCACCTGCCACATTTTTGGTGATCCACATTATGTAACCTTTGATGGGAGACTGTACCATTTCCAAGGAGACTGCAATTATACAGTTGTTGAGACATGCACAAATTCTTCTGAACAGTTTTCAGTGACAACCAGAAATAAACATAGAGGAAACCCAAACTGGACAGCCTTGGACTCAGTTGCTGTCACACTGAAAAATCTTCATATTGTTGTGAGGAGAAATAAAGAGACCTATGTAAGTGTTCTACTTTAAGCACAATCTATCATATCTGTGCACTGCATTTTTCCAACCAGAACTGAATCAGGTTTCTCTACTTCATTCACCTTCAAGACTACATATGCTAGAAGGCACATAAATATTTTTTTTGAAGAGTCAGAAATCAGCATAGTGTCATTATGCATTATGTCCAGTCAAATCATGTCTGCATTAGGTTTTAGGAAAAACATCTCCAACTGTAACTTCATCCTTAAATAGAAAGCTTTTGCTGAACTAAATCTCAGTCTGGATTTTGCTGTTCTGGTCTTTAAATCAGAAGTAGTATTTTTGCTATATGCTCTCAGACCTGTACATACCAGAGATAGCTTTAAATTAACTTGTCCAAGTATTTCTATGTGTGTAGCTGTGACAATACAGTGCTCAACTTGTGCTATAAACCCATATTCATGGAATCATAGAACAGCTTGGGTTGGAAGGGGCCTTAAAGATCACCCAGTCCCAACCCCCCTGAAATAGGCAGGGATGCCACCCACTAGATTAGATTCCCCAGGGCCTTGCCCAGCCTGGTCTTGAGCAACTCCAGGGATGGAGCATCCACAACCTCTCTGGGCAACCTGTTCAAGTGCCTCACCACTCTCTGAGTGAAGAATTTCCTCCTAACACCTAATATAAATCTCCCTCTTTCAGTTTAAAACCACTCTCTCTTGTCCTATCATTATCTTCCTGAGCAAAAAGTGACTCTCCATCTTTTTATAAGCCCACTTTAAGTATTGAAAAGCTGCAGTGAGTCCTCCCTGGAGCCTTTTCTTCTTCAGGCTGAATAAACCCATCTCTCTCAGCCTTTCTTCATAAAAGAATATTCAATATATGAGATAAGTATATAGCTGATTAGTCCCTGATCAGCTTCATTTTTTTGGTCTATCTTGCTCCTTAGAATAAGGCTGACTTGCTGAAGAAAGCTATGGGATTAGCAGTATAGAGACCTCTCCTTTGTTACTTGGAGCTTTATTGACTCACCTGTTTGTGTGGACTTTGTTTTCTTTAGGTGGATGGATTTCAGGTTTCTCTTCCTGTGGATTTGAAGCATAGAGCAACAGTAGCTGTAAAAGGACATTATGTAGTCATTGATACCTCTCTAGGGATCCAGGTGAAGTTTGATGGCGACCAGGAGCTTTTTATTCAGGTTGATGAAAGTCTCAAAGGACAGCTGTGTGGTCTGTGTGGGACATTCAATGACAACCAGCTGGATGATTTTCTTAAACCAGACAATGTCCTAGAACAAGATCCAAATAAATTTGGTGACAGCTGGCTAGTGAAGGATGACAACTGGATGTAAGTATCCAATAATATTAAAGGAAACAGCAAAATACCTGAAACATAGAGCTTCTACTTAAGAGATTAACACACATAATATGCATTCTATAAAAACCCTTTTTTGATATTACTTGTTGGCTAGAATTTTCACCTTTGAAAAATTCCACATCTCAGTAGAAAGCACTTTATTTTTAAAACTACTCTTCAATGGTTTTCAATATGAACTTTGTACATTTTATTTGAAATTGGGCTCCTTTTTTTGCACGTTAACTTTATTTCTTCTTGATTCTCTACGCTAAAATATCTTCGTTATATCATCCAACTATAAGAAAGCTAAATATATGCCTCAGATTCTCCTCCTAACATAATTATACATTGATTAAGATAAGCACTGTCTATTAATGCTTTCATACACTAATTAGCTACCTTACTATCCACAATAGTGAATTGAAATTATATTCCTTGTGTTAGATATCTGGTTGGCTGGTTTCTTTTGACTTCAGTCTATGGATGGGTAGGCATACCTTAACAAGTCACTACTGTACTCTTAATGGGGAATTGTGAGTCAAATTGTAATATTTCTCACCTTTGGCTCTTAAAAACTAAAGATGAGAATACACAGCAGATCCACAGAATTCAGCATATAGTTCTATTATTGTTGAGGTGTACCTTACAGTGTAGAACAAAATATAAATATGTATTATATAACCATGCTGCTGTTTATTTTTGATGCAGATGTAATCCAGTCGCAGTTGTGCCACCGACCTGTGACACAGAAAAAGAGAAAGAATATGAAGAAGTCTGTAAAATTATTTTGGAAAACAGTGGGCCTTTTGCAGTCTGTCATTGGTACATTCCACCACAGCTGTACTTTGAGAGCTGTGTCTATGACCTGTGTGCCACAGAGGGGAATTCTGAACAATTTTGCAAAATTTTAGAGGCATATGCTGCTGCCTGTGAGCTTGGAGGTGTAAATCTGGGAGAATGGAGGGAAGGTACCATCTGTGGTAAGTCACAAGGCCATTTAGCCAATAGCAATGCAATTTAATCCTCATGTTACAAATATAAATGCAAATAACTAAGAAGCTGAGAAGAATTTCAGAGAAGGTGATTCAGGAAGACATAGAAAACTTTTGATTGCTCAGTGTCTTACGAAATCAAGCTTCTAGCCTATGCATTTAATGGTCTTCCAGTGTTCACTTTAAGCCACAGTGTTTGAACATTTTTGACTTCAGAGAGTTATTCAGAACTGGGTCATGAAAGCCAACATATCTGGCAGTTAAGTGATGAGCCAGGGAAAATTAAACACTTAGTGTTTTCTTTCAAACCAACTTGTTATTTTTTCCAAACAGATCACCACTCTGGCTTTAATAAAATATCTTTTTGTTTTTGAGAAGTGTTAATACAACATTTACACCACTAGTCTACAGTTCCAGGTTTTAATAAAGCATGTCAAATAACTTTAGAAGTGTATAAACCAGAGCTTAAAATTAATAAGTGAAAATCCTGCAACTTGACTTGAGCTCTATTTAGCCTCCCACTCATTACACTATTAGGGCCTTATTATCTAGGCAGTCTAGTTAACATAGAAGAAGGACTAGAGACATGAAACTGCTTCTACAACTACCAGAGGTGATCACCAGAAACAGAAAAAATGACAGCCTGTCTATGACATGAAAAGACATTCCATAACCTCTTTCAAATCTGAGGTAATATTTCTCATCACAATTTAGAAACTGTAAAAGAAATGTTAGGCCATTCTCATAATGGTGTCTAGATTTCTACCCAAGCTGCACTTTGAGAGCCAGCTGTTGTGCCAAATAGGAGAGCTTTGAGCAATTTGCAGTGACCAAGGATTAAAACACAGTGTAAAAATAGAGGACATTAATGCATTACGATGATAATTAAGTAATGGACTTATAAAGAACAGATATTCTCAGATACATTTTGACATTTAATAATCAATGTTTCTGTATGGATTGCTTCTACTCACTCTGTTATATCATCTTCCAATCTTTAATGGACATGAGTGCATGAGATCTAGAAGGACATTATCAGAACAGTGAAAAGATTCCAGGCCTCATTTTGGAAACTGTTTTTTTCTATCTGCAACATGTACAGCTGCACCAACAGCCTGCAATATATCCTGCACGTTTGATGTTGACTTCTGTGGATGGGAACAGGCAGTCGATGACAACTTTGACTGGATAAGGAACAAGGGGCCAACACCCTCACCAAACACTGGCCCTTCCTATGACCACACAACAGGAGGTAGGAACAGAAACCAGTATCTGGCTGTGCTTCAGGTAGAGCAGTCTCTGAGAAGACTGCAAAGAGCCTCTTTTAATAGGAAATCCAGGCAACGTGTTTCCAGGGCTTTATCCAGAATCTTCTGCAGCAGTCAGGAATTTGTCTTGGGATGAATGACCAGTGCAGCACATGGAAGAGTGTGTAACATGCTTGCATAGTTACCTGCAGATAGGCTTCAGGAAAGACATACCCAGGCTGAGATTGGATCACTTCAATGCCTGACCCATAATTTAGGATGCTAGCCTTCCCCTAGGGAGGAGGTGTAATCTGCTGGAAAACCATTTGGGGACAGGAAATTTAATGGTGGTGCTGGGTACAGGAAAACTATAATATTATAGACTGATTAAATGCTCATATCATAACATCACACGCTCACTGGCCAGTGATGTCTAGACTTCTATTCTGGAGAGAAAAGCGCTCCATTTAAAGTAACATGAAAACTATGTGCAGACTGCTCTCGCCATGCCTCCCCAGAAAATGCAGCTGCACACAAAATGTAAAAGAGGTATTTTGTATAGCCCAGATGCAGCAATATGAGAACTTACAACTGTGCTATTTCCAGATGGCTATTACATATACCTGCAAGGAAGTGAGCATAACCCAGCTGATGTAGCTCGCTTGGCCAGTCCAATATGTGGTTCAGAAGGACCGCACTGCTTCCGCTTCTGGTATCACATGTACGGCGTGGCTGAAACAATGGCCCTGCGGGTGTACGTAACTCACAATGAAACATCAACACTGGAATGGAAAGAAGCTGGAAACAAAGGGGACAGATGGCATTTACAAGAGCTCACGGTGCACAGCAAAGGAAACATGCAGGTAAGGGCAGAGGCTCAAACTGCCATCTGAGACGGGGTGTGCTTTGAAATGGCACACAGTGTTTGTGGCTGGAGCTAATGCTGGAAACCATCCCTTACCTTAGATTGTCCTCGAAGGCATGATAGGGGAAGATTTCCGCAGCGACGTGGCACTGGATGATCTGTCCATTGAAAAGGGATACTGCCCAGGTACCTCATCACCCGGCTTGGGAAAGGGCAGCTTGCTTGTCGTGGCAGTCAATGTAGTTTCTGCCTTGAAGAGGATCTGGTCAAGGGGGATTGATTGACATGTGCCATTGTGTCTCTCGTAGGCGATGGGCCTCCAACGCCTGGCACCAGCACACCAACACCTGGGACACCAACACCCTCGCCAGGCTCAGGTGAGTGGAGCAGACGAGTCACGGGGCTGCAGCGTTCGGTCAGGGTGGGCTGTGGAGAGGAGGCGGCAGGAGGTGCATCACTGAACGTTTCCTCTGGTCCTTCCTCTGTCAGGGACCTGTGTGGTGGAAGGAGACCCTCACTACCACACCTTTGACAATCAAATACACCACTTCATGGGCACCTGCACCTACACCCTGTCCAAGCTGTGTGAGAGCAACAGCTCGCTGCCCTACTTCAACGTGGAAGCGGCCAATGAGCACAGGGGAGGCAACACGCGCGTGTCCTACGTCCAGTACGTGGATGTCGATGTGTATGGCCAGCGCATAAGGCTGGGGAAGGGCGGCGTGGTGACGGTAAGCGCAGGGGGGAGCAACGTCAGGGCTGTGTCAGGACAGAGAGCCGCGCCAAACGGGTTGCTCCAACCCTCTCTTGGTTGGTGTCCTTGCAGGTCAACGGAGTGGCAGAGGTGCTGCCCTGCACCCCGTCGGCAGGCGTGCAGGTCTCGTCCAGCGGCTTCTACACTGTGGTCACGACAGACTTTGGCTTGAGAGTGAAGTTTGATGGGAACCATCTGGTGGAGGTGACGCTTCCGAGCACCTTTGGGCAGAAGGTTTGTGGCATGTGTGGGAACTACAACGGGATGGCAGCAGACGACTTCCTGAACCCGGACGGGGTGCTGGAGCCAGACTCCACCAGCCTGGGTAACAGCTGGCAGGTGTCCAACGACAGCAGGTGCGTGTGGCCCCCGCGTAGGTGCGGGGACGTGTCGCGCGAGGGGAGGAGGCGGCACCAGAAGAAGCCCACAGCTAACCCAGGGGCCCTTCTCCCTGCCTTTCCACAGCTGCTCAGCCGGACAGCCCGCCCCGCCAGCCTGTAGTGAGGCCGACAAGCAAGTCATTGCCAGCAGCCGCTTCTGCGGACTCCTCACTGACAGCAGCAGCCCCTTTGAGGTGTGCCACGCCGTGCTGAGTCCCAGCGGTTACTTCAACACCTGCCTTTACGACCTGTGTGAGCTGGGGCTGGATGACAAGGCCCTGTGCAACAGCTTGCAGGCCTATGCGGATGCCTGCCGGGCGCTTGGTGTCAAGCTCCCTGCGTGGAGGAACGCGACATTCTGCCGTAAGTCAGAAGCAGGGAAGCACCCCATTTCCCTGGGCTGGCCAGCCGCCGTGGCAAGGAGCACCCTTTGTCCACCAGATCCCCATCGTGGTCCTTTCCCTGCGGAAGGCATACACGTGGGGGCATGGTGGGAACGGGGTGATGATGCCAGTTTCCAAAACATGCGGTGAAGCCTGCCTACCTTGAGGGCATTCTGAGTGTAGGGTTACCGATGGTTTCACTGCTACTCCTTTTGCCTTGGCAGCCATCACCTGTCCAGCCAACAGTCACTACGAGCCCTGTGCTGCAGCCTGCCCTGCCACCTGTGTTGACCCTATGGCTCCCGTCACCTGCAGCCTGCCGTGCGTGGAGGGTTGCGTGTGCGACAGCGGGTACCTGCTCTACAATGACCGATGTGTGCCCAGCCAGCAGTGCGGGTGCTGGCACAATGGGCAGCACTACCCGGTGGGCTCGGAGTTCTGGACGGACAACAGCTGCTCCACAAAGTGCACGTGTCCCACGCGGGGAGGCAAAGTCCAGTGCTCCAGCGCCTCATGTCCTGCGGGCCAGTACTGCGGTGTGCAGAATGGGAAACCCGAGTGCCTTGACCACACATATGGCATCTGCAACGTCCACGGTGACCCTCACTACGTTACCTTTGACAAGGTGACGCACGACTTCATGGGGAACTGCACCTACACCCTGGCCAAAGTGTGCTCCAACAGCTCTGTGCCCTACTTCAATGTTGAGGCAAAGAACGAGCATCGTGGCAACCCCAGAGTGTCGTACGTGCGCGAAGTCCTGGTCGAGGTGTACGGAGAGCGCATTGCAATAGTCAAGCAGGAGAGGAGCCAAGTGCTGGTAAGGAGCTGGGCTGGCTCAAGCACGGTGTGTGTGCAAGGCGGGGCTGGCTTTTCTTGGCAGGGTCTTCCCTCTTCTCTGCTAAATGGGTCCCCAGAGTGCAGCAGATGTATGGCTGTGCAGCTGCAGGGTTGTCTGTGCGAGCGGGGCTCGTGGTCCTGTGGGGCCGAGGGCCCCAGAGAGACCACGGTCCATTGCGGTGCGTCTGCCCTAGGTGAACGGTGTGCGCCGGACCTTGCCGGTGAGTGCAGCAGGAGGAGCCATCAGAGTGAGCACAAGCGGCCGCTACATCGTCCTGGAGACGGACTTCAACCTCAGAGTGTCCTACGACGCCGACCACTCGGTGGAGGTGAGGGTGCCCACCACCTACTCCAACCTGACCTGCGGCATGTGCGGGAACTTCAACAGCCGGCGAGAGGACGACTACATGATGCCCGACGGGCAGCAAGCCGCAGACTCCAATGCATTGGGGGAGAGCTGGAAGGTGCCCGACGGTGACCCCTCTTGCGGTGTGCCCCCACCCCTGGAACCCTGCAGTGCGGAAGAGGAGAAGCTCTACCAATCGGAGCAGTTCTGTGGCATACTGACTGCCAGCCCAGGCTTTTTTGAGAGCTGCCATGCCGTGATCAACCCCCAGAGCTACTTTGACACCTGCTCCTACGACCTTTGTGCCCTGAGTGGCAGCCAGGACGTCCTGTGTGGTGCCCTGGAGGCCTACGCTGACGCGTGCCAGGCAGCCGGCGTGACACTTCTCCCCTGGAGGAATGCCACCTTCTGCCGTGAGTACCTGCCTTGGAGTTGCCAGAGGAAAGCGGGCCTCTCCCTGTGCCCAGTACCTCTGGCAAAGCAGCGATCAACGACTCGTTCGGTGGTCTTCGCCTTCCCAGAAGGTAGCCCCTTCCTGGAGGGCTTTGCAGGTCCTAACTGTCCCCTTCCCGTTGCAGCCCTGCGGTGCCCTGCCAACAGCTACTATGACCCTTGCATGACTGGCTGTCCTGCCACCTGCGTTGACCAACAAGCCCCGCAGAACTGCTCCAAGCCCTGCATGGAGGGCTGCGCGTGCACCTCTGGCTTCCTCCTCAGCGGAGACGCCTGCGTGCCCGAGGCCAACTGTGGCTGCCTCTTTGAGGGCAACTACTACAGCGTGAGTGAAAACCCTGTGGCGTCTCGCTCCCCTCCCGAGGCACTGCTTTGCCTCTACTTCCCTGCCTGACGTGATGGGGCTCCGGGTTTCTCTGCCTGCAGGAGGGAGAGCACTTGGTGAACGAGAACTGCACTAGGCAGTGCCAGTGTGAAGCCAACGGCCAGATGGTTTGCTCTGAGTTGTCCTGTGGTGAGGAGGAGATCTGCAAGATCCAGGACGGCCAGCCGGGCTGTTACCCAGCCAGCACAGCTCTCTGCCACATCTACGGCGACCCGCATTACAGCACCTTCGACGGGAAGCTTCACCACTTCCAGGGCTCCTGCAACTACACCGTGGTGACGGCCTGTGACAACTCCTCCCTCGGCTTCAGCATCACCACGCGCAACGAACATCGGGGCAGCCCGAGCTGGACGGCTCTGAACTCCGTCGCGCTGTCCGTGGAAGGCCTCCACATTGCACTGCGCAAGAACAAGGCAGTCTACGTAAGCGCCCCTCACTGTTAGGCCTGGGAACACAGATATCCAAAGTACCATTAGTAGCACGGTTCCCCCAAAGAGCTTGATGTTGCCTGAACCTGCTGGCGTGCTCCCACGAGAGCACAGCGAGCCTGTGAGTGGGGCAGACAGGACGGCTGGCGCAGCAACAGAGTTTCTGCCTGCTGTCCCGAGCTTTGTGCGTGCTGTCCGTGGGGTAGCTGCTGTTCTCGTAGGGCTGGGCGCGGTTCCTCATGCCGTCAGCGCTTGTGGCTCGGTGGGCCCTGGCACCACCGCAGTGAAGAGCAGTGAGTTGGCAGCGGAGGGCCCGTCTTTATGCTTCTCTCTCCCCCTCTCCTCCCTGTTCAGATCAACGGTGCTCTGGCCTCCCTGCCTGCTTCTCCAGCCCCCGGTGTGACCATTTCTCTGAGTGGCTCCTACGTGCAGGTCTCTACCAAGCTGGGCCTGCAGGTGCAGTTCAACGGGGACCATGAGCTCCTTGTGAGGGTGTCCGAGAAACACCAGGGCAAGCTGTGTGGGTTGTGTGGAACATACACCGGGAGACAAGAGGACGACTTCACACGACCCGATGGGGTCGTTGTGCCTGACACCAATGACTTTGGAAACAGCTGGAGGGTGCCGGATGACGAGTGGCCGTGAGTCCTTGTTGTGTCGCGTAGATGACGGACAAAGGGGAGCATGAGAGAGGGGAGCTGTGAGCAGCGCGAGGAAGGAGGGTTGGTAGTGTTAGTCACGCACGGGGCAGGTAGCAGGAGGCAGTTGTGGGAAAGCGTGAGGGAGCGTATGGAGGCTCCACAGCAGCAGGCACACGGCTCTTGCATCTCGCTTCTGTGCTGCATCCACCCGTGGGATGTGCTGTCTGCAGCTGGATTCCTGACGTGTGGCTGTTCCCCTTTGTCCTCAAGGCTGGCTTGCTAGTGGCAGTGCCCAGGCCGCACCACACGATCAGGGTGCATGGTGCTGTCTCCCCGGAGGCTCTGTGCCCTGGGGCCCTGGGTGACCTCCATGCCGGGCCCTGTGTCCTACTCCACACACTGCATGTCGCTGCTCCTGACCCCAGAGAGGGTGGGCCGGGGCATGAGCACGGTGCTATTGCCAAGCTGGTGTGGTCACAGGTGCCTCAGCTGCCTGCTTCTGTGTCTCTGACGTCTGTCTGCTTTGCAGGTGTGACACAATCCCCGTACCACCTCCATCCTGCTCCCCCTCTGCGGAGGAGGCAGCTAACAAGGAGTGTGCAATCCTCACGCAACCCGGTGGCCCGTTCCAGCCATGCCACGCAGTTCTGCCACCCGAGACGTACTTTGAGAGCTGTGTCTATGACCATTGTGCCACGAATGGCAGCACAGAGCAGCTCTGCAACGCCCTGGGTGCCTATGCTGCAGCCTGTGCTGAGGCAGGTGTTGCTCTGGGAGACTGGAGTGCTGGCACTGTCTGTGGTGAGTGTCCCGTTGATCTCGTTTCAACTGTGGCTTCAAGGAAAAGGGCAGCAGGGTTTACTCTGTGTATCACCAGATGTTGTTGGGTCAGTGTACTTGTTATGCTGGGATGCATTTAACTTTGTTTAGCAAAGCTCCTTGTGACAGGGATACTGTGGCATTGCTGACCTTCACTCCGTTTTCCATGGTACTTTGTTGTCTGGGAAGGGTGGAATAACTGCCTGGAAGAAATCGCCATTATGAAACACAGCCTCTATACCACTTTCTCACTGTAGGTTCAACGGTTCCTCCAACCTCCACCCCCTTGCCAGGTACTACAACGCAGCCTCCCCACACAACTTCACCTGCGACAAGCACAGGTATGTTTAATTCCTGTCCGTGTTTTTTTTAACTGGCTGTGGTAAGTGCTGGGCTCAAGTACTTTCACTTGGTTGGCCTCCTCACCTGGCCACGAGCATGCCAGGGATGTAGGTGTGCCATGTGGGACACTGGGCAAACATGGTAGCCATCATCAGCAAGACTCACATGGTGCTCAGGTTCTGTCCTGTCCCATGCCCACCTTCTGCTTGTGGCAACTGTTCAGGTCCTTGCCTTTAAAGCCCCCGTTTGAAGGACAGAGTGGCTGTAGGGAAGGGGCTATGCTTCTCCTTTTATCACCCAGCTACGCTGGTGGCACAGCCTGCAAGTAGTGTGCCTCTTCTTGAGGAGTGATCCCTGTATGCTTTCTTCCCTGCGCTTCTCTTGTCATGGCGTTGGGGTGTTTGGGCAGGGCAGACCAGCTGCCTGGAACAAAATTCCCATGTTGACACAGACCTCTTCTGCCTATGCGTAGGTCCGCTGCCTCCAACAGCCTTGACTCCGTTGCCAGACAGCACAACACAGCCTACACACACACTGCCACCAACCACACCTGTGCCAAGCTCAGGTATCAGAGCCTTCTGCCCCCTTTTTTGCAGTTGTTATTAGCTGTTTCAGTCGTCTTCACTACCATTAGGGGACAAACGGAGCATTTGCGTTGGAGAGGCTGTTACTTTCTTTGTGTCACTCAATTGCTGTGGTAACAGACATTGACTACTCGGACCCTTTCAAAGCTGCTAGGGTGGGATCACTGCTCTGGGCAGCAGTGCCTGAAGCACTGAGGGGTATAAGTGATATGGAGTGGCACTGTAACAGAAAGTCCAGTGTTGACAGTTTTCCACTAGCTCTGTCTCCCGGAGATGAGTCACGAGGCTACAGTGTTCGGTCAGGGTGGGCTGTGGAGAGGAGGCGGCAGGAGGTGCATCACTGAACGTTTCCTCTGGTCCTTCCTCTGTCAGGGACCTGTGTGGTGGAAGGAGACCCTCACTACCACACCTTTGACAATCAAATACACCACTTCATGGGCACCTGCACCTACACCCTGTCCAAGCTGTGTGAGAGCAACAGCTCGCTGCCCTACTTCAACGTGGAAGCGGCCAATGAGCACAGGGGAGGCAACACGCGCGTGTCCTACGTCCAGTACGTGGATGTCGATGTGTATGGCCAGCGCATAAGGCTGGGGAAGGGCGGCGTGGTGACGGTAAGCGCAGGGGGGAGCAACGTCAGGGCTGTGTCAGGACAGAGAGCCGCGCCAAACGGGTTGCTCCAACCCTCTCTTGGTTGGTGTCCTTGCAGGTCAACGGAGTGGCAGAGGTGCTGCCCTGCACCCCATCGGCAGGCGTGCAGGTCTCGTCCAGCGGCTTCTACACTGTGGTCACGACAGACTTTGGCTTGAGAGTGAAGTTTGATGGGAACCATCTGGTGGAGGTGACGCTTCCGAGCACCTTTGGGCAGAAGGTTTGTGGCATGTGTGGGAACTACAACGGGATGGCAGCAGACGACTTCCTGAACCCGGACGGGGTGCTGGAGCCAGACTCCACCAGCCTGGGTAACAGCTGGCAGGTGTCCAACGACAGCAGGTGCGTGTGTCCCCCGCTTAGGTGCGGGGACGTGTCGCGCGAGGGGAGGAGGCGGCACCAGAAGAAGCCCACAGCTAACCCAGGGGCCCTTCTCCCTGCCTTTCCACAGCTGCTCAGCCGGACAGCCCGCCCCGCCAGCCTGTAGTGAGGCCGACAAGCAAGTCATTGCCAGCAGCCGCTTCTGCGGACTCCTCACTGACAGCAGCAGCCCCTTTGAGGTGTGCCACGCCGTGCTGAGTCCCAGCGGTTACTTCAACACCTGCCTTTACGACCTGTGTGAGCTGGGGCTGAATGACAAGGCCCTGTGCAACAGCTTGCAGGCCTATGCGGATGCCTGCCAGGCGCTTGGTGTCAAGCTCCCTGCGTGGAGGAACGCGACATTCTGCCGTAAGTCAGAAGCAGGGAAGCAACCCCATTTCCCTGGGCTGGCCAGCCGCCGTGGCAAGGAGCACCCTTTGTCCACCAGATCCCCATCGTGGTCCTTTCCCTGCGGAAGGCATCACGTGGGGGCATGGTGGGAACGGGGTGATGATGCCAGTTTCCAAAACATGCGGTGAAGCCTGCCTACCTTGAGGGCATTCTGAGTGTAGGGTTACCGATGGTTTCACTGCTACTCCTTTTGCCTTGGCAGCCATCACCTGTCCAGCCAACAGTCACTACGAGCCCTGTGCTGCAGCCTGCCCTGCCACCTGTGTTGACCCATTAGCACCGTATAAATGCAGCCTGCCGTGCGTGGAGGGTTGCGTGTGCGACAGCGGGTACCTGCTCTACAATGACCGATGTGTGCCCAGCCAGCAGTGCGGGTGCTGGCACAATGGGCAGCACTACCCGGTGGGCTCGGAGTTCTGGACGGACAACAGCTGCTCCACAAAGTGCACGTGTCCCACGCGGGGAGGCAAAGTCCAGTGCTCCAGCGCCTCATGCCCTGCGGGCCAATACTGTGGTGTGCAGAATGGGAAACCCGAGTGCCTTGACCACACATATGGCATCTGCAACGTACACAACGATCCTCACTACGTTACCTTTGACAAGGTGACGCACAGCTTCATGGGGAACTGCACCTACACCCTGGCCAAAGTGTGCTCCAACAGCTCCGTGCCCTACTTCAATGTTGAGGCAAAGAACGAGCATCGTGGCAACCCCCGAGTGTCGTACGTGCGCGAAGTCCTGGTCGAGGTGTACGGAGAGCGCATTGCAATAGTCAAGCAGGAGAGGAGCCAAGTGCTGGTAAGGAGCTGGGCTGGCTCAAGCACGGTGTGTGTGTGAGGCGGGGCTGGCTTTTCTTGGCAGGGCCTTCCCTCTTCTCTGCTAAATGGGTCCCCAGAGTGCAGCAGATGTATGGCTGTGCAGCTGCAGGGGTGTCTGTGCGAGCGGGGCTCGTGGTCCTGTGGGGCCGAGGGCCCCAGAGAGACCACGGTCCATTGCGGTGCGTCTGCCCTAGGTGAACGGTGTGCGCCGGACCTTGCCGGTGAGTGCAGCAGGAGGAGCCATCAGAGTGAGCACAAGCGGCCGCTACATCGTCCTGGAGACGGACTTCAACCTCAGAGTGTCCTACGACGCCGACCACTCGGTGGAGGTGAGGGTGCCCACCACCTACTCCAACCTGACCTGCGGCATGTGCGGGAACTTCAACAGCCGGCGAGAGGACGACTACATGATGCCCGACGGGCAGCAAGCCGCAGACTCCAATGCATTGGGGGAGAGCTGGAAGGTGCCCGACGGTGACCCCTCTTGCGGTGTGCCCCCACCCCTGGAACCCTGCAGTGCAGAAGAGGAGAAGCTCTACCAATCGGAGCAGTTCTGTGGCATACTGACTGCCAGCCCAGGCTTTTTTGAGAGCTGCCATGCCGTGATCAACCCCCAGAGCTACTTTGACACCTGCTCCTACGACCTTTGTGCCCTGAGTGGCAGCCAGGACGTCCTGTGTGGTGCCCTGGAGGCCTACGCTGACGCGTGCCAGGCAGCCGGCGTGACTCTTCTCCCCTGGAGGAATGCCACCTTCTGCCGTGAGTACCTGCCTTGGAGTTGCCAGAGGAAAGCGGGCCTCTCCCTGTGCCCAGTACCTCTGGCAAAGCAGCGATCAACGACTCGTTCGGTGGTCTTCGCCTTCCCAGAAGGTAGCCCCTTCCCGGAGGGCTTTGCAGGTCCTAACTGTCCCCTTCCCGTTGCAGCCCTGCGGTGCCCTGCCAACAGCTACTATGACCCTTGCATGACTGGCTGTCCTGCCACCTGCGTTGACCAACAAGCCCCGCAGAACTGCTCCAAGCCCTGCATGGAGGGCTGCGCGTGCACCTCTGGCTTCCTCCTCAGCGGAGACGCCTGCGTGCCCGAGGCCAACTGTGGCTGCCTCTTTGAGGGCAACTACTACAGCGTGAGTGAAAACCCTGTGGCGTCTCGCTCCCCTTCCGAGGCACTGCTTTGCCTCTACTTGCCTGCCTGACGTGATGGGGCTCCGGGTTTCTCTGCCTGCAGGAAGGAGAGCACTTGGTGAACGAGAACTGCACTAGGCAGTGCCAGTGTGAAGCCAACGGCCAGATGGTTTGCTCTGAGTTGTCCTGTGGTGAGGAGGAGATCTGCAAGATCCAGGACGGCCAGCCGGGCTGTTACCCAGCCAGCACAGCTCTCTGCCACATCTACGGCGACCCGCATTACAGCACCTTCGACGGGAAGCTTCACCACTTCCAGGGCTCCTGCAACTACACCGTGGTGACGGCCTGTGACAACTCCTCCCTCGGCTTCAGCATCACCACGCGCAACGAACATCGGGGCAGCCCGAGCTGGACGGCTCTGAACTCCGTCGCGCTGTCCGTGGAAGGCCTCCACATTGCACTGCGCAAGAACAAGGCAGTCTACGTAAGCGCCCCTCACTGTTAGGCCTGGGAACACAGATATCCAAAGTACCATTAGTAGCACGGTTCCCCCAAAGAGCTTGATGTTGCCTGAACCTGCTGGCGTGCTCCCACGAGAGCACAGCGAGCCTGTGAGTGGGGCAGACAGGACGGCTGGCGCAGCAACAGAGTTTCTGCCTGCTGTCCCGAGCTTTGTGCGTGCTGTCCGTGGGGTAGCTGCTGTTCTCGTAGGGCTGGGCGCGGTTCCTCATGCCGTCAGCGCTTGTGGCTCGGTGGGCCCTGGCACCACCGCAGTGAAGAGCAGTGAGTTGGCAGCGGAGGGCCCGTCTTTATGCTTCTCTCTCCCCCTCTCCTCCCTGTTCAGATCAACGGTGCTCTGGCCTCCCTGCCTGCTTCTCCAGCCCCCGGTGTGACCATTTCTCTGAGTGGCTCCTACGTGCAGGTCTCTACCAAGCTGGGCCTGCAGGTGCAGTTCAACGGGGACCATGAGCTCCTTGTGAGGGTGTCCGAGAAGCACCAGGGCAAGCTGTGTGGGTTGTGTGGAACATACACCGGGAGACAAGAGGACGACTTCACACGACCCGATGGGGTCGTTGTGCCTGACACCAATGACTTTGGAAACAGCTGGAGGGTGCCGGATGACGAGTGGCCGTGAGTCCTTGTTGTGTCGCGTAGATGACGGACAAAGGGGAGCATGAGAGAGGGGAGCTGTGAGCAGCGCGAGGAAGGAGGGTTGGTAGTGTTAGTCACGCACGGGGCAGGTAGCAGGAGGCAGTTGTGGGAAAGCGTGAGGGAGCGTATGGAGGCTCCACAGCAGCAGGCACACGGCTCTTGCATCTCGCTTCTGTGCTGCATCCACCCGTGGGATGTGCTGTCTGCAGCTGGATTCCTGACGTGTGGCTGTTCCCCTTTGTCCTCAAGGCTGGCTTGCTAGTGGCAGTGCCCAGGCCGCACCACACGATCAGGGTGCATGGTGCTGTCTCCCCGGAGGCTCTGTGCCCTGGGGCCCTGGGTGACCTCCATGCCGGGCCCTGTGTCCTACTCCACACACTGCATGTCGCTGCTCCTGACCCCAGAGAGGGTGGGCCGGGGCATGAGCACGGTGCTATTGCCAAGCTGGTGTGGTCACAGGTGCCTCAGCTGCCTGCTTCTGTGTCTCTGACGTCTGTCTGCTTTGCAGGTGTGACACAATCCCCGTACCACCTCCATCCTGCTCCCCCTCTGCGGAGGAGGCAGCTAACAAGGAGTGTGCAATCCTCACGCAACCCGGTGGCCCGTTCCAGCCATGCCACGCAGTTCTGCCACCCGAGACGTACTTTGAGAGCTGTGTCTATGACCATTGTGCCACGAGTGGCAGCACGGAGCAGCTCTGCAACGCCCTGGGTGCCTATGCTGCAGCCTGTGCTGAGGCAGGTGTTGCTCTGGGAGACTGGAGTGCTGGCACTGTCTGTGGTGAGTGTCCCATTTGGGTTTGCTTTCATGACTGAGCTGTGACGATCTCCCGCACAGATTCTGTGGGATTGAAAAGTCAGAGATCATGGGTGTTCTTTTCTTTTACGTTCCTTGTCCTTAAGTCTTGTGGCTAAGGTTTAAGATCCTGGACCCTCTCATTGCCACAGGAAATCTGCTGGGTGTGCACAATACTTCCTAGACTTGCAGTCCAGGGAGGCTTGCCTTCTCTGCCAGAGGAGTCCTGCCCAGAATGTTCTTGTGTTCCTGACCGCATTGCTTGTGCTTAGTTTGGAAGCGGCCTGTCCAGGGTGTAGTGTCATCAGCGTTTTGGCATTAGGAAGGCAGACGTTGCTTGAGGGATGTTAGAGGACGGCATCCCACTGCCCATCAAAGATGACTAAGACCTTACTGACAACTGTCCCTCTCTTATTTGAAGTGCTGTGCTGCTTCACGGATAAGGCAGAAAGGCCCTAATGTTGTAGGAAATCATTGATAGTATTTAGCCCAAGACAGAGCCCCTGACCTTCTGGGAGGCATAGCAAGGTACCACCTGTAGATGTGGAGAGAAGAAGGGGGGACCCAGAGGAGGGAGAGAGGAAGAAGCCTTCACCAATGAACATTGGGGAATGCCCGGGATAGGGACAATGTCCTGGGAACAGCCTTGCTCCTCAGCCTGCCTGTCCTCAGGTTGATCTCTACTACACCACGATGCTGCCTACTTGCACTTGGTTGGCCATTCTCACCCGGCCATGAGCACGCCAGGGGTGTTGGTGTGCCCTGTGGGACACTGGGAAAAGGTGGCCCCACCCTTACTTTAGAAACTCTGCTTTCCTTTCCGCACCGTATCCAGCTTTGCCAACAGCCTGCAATTTCGACTGCACATTTGACGTCGACCTCTGTGAGTGGGTCCAGGAGGCGTCCAGCAGCATCGACTGGACAAGGCACAAGGGGCCAACACCATCGCCAGATACCGGCCCTTCCTTCGACCACACAACAGGAGGTAGGAGCAGCAGCCAGCTTGTGACGGTCATTCAGGCCGAGGGGTGTCCTTAGGAAGATGGCAACAAACCTTTTCCAACAGCGAATACAGGCCGAATGTTTCCTGGATTTGATCCAGAGCCATTTGTAGCAGTCTCCCCCAGGGCCAGAGCCTTTCTTTAGGAAGCTTTTCAGGTGTGGGAATCAGTCTGTGGTACTGCCAGGACAGGCAACGATCTGTCGTGCAAGGGGAGAAGAAATGCAAAGCTTGATGGCAGACTGTCTTGGGGGAACAGGAACGGGTCTCTTCTAGGAGACACTGGCTTCTCCAGAAGCCAACGATGAGTGGGCCCCAAAGCTGCAGAGCCATGCTAGGATGATGGCGGTGCTTCGGAGGTGATGCCGTTGCCATAGAGCTGGCACGTCCTCTGGGAGCACGGTTTGTAGGTAGACTTGGGGCTGGGGGGTTGTGGCTAGTGAAGAAGCTCTCTTTGTTCCTTTTGCCTGCCTTAAACTGCAGCAGGAGGCACTCCCACGACTGTGCGTGGGTTGTTCCTGCGTGCTTTGTCTAGATTTGATGGTGTGCGACAGTGTGGCTGGCACTTTGTTTCAGACGGCTACTACATCTACCTGCATGGAAGCTCCTATTACGAATACTTGGTGTCTCAGCTGGTCAGCCCGGTGTGCAACTCAACGGGACCGCACTGCTTCCGCTTCTGGTACCACATGTACGGCGTGGCTGAAGAAATGGCCCTGCGGGTGTACGTGACTAGGGACAAAGAACTTCTGCAGGTTTGGGAAGCAACTGGGAACCACGGGGACAGATGGCACTTGGGAGAGGTCACGGTGCACAGCACAGGAAACATGCAGGTGAGGGCAGAGGCTCAAACTGCCATCTGAGACGGGGTGTGCTTTGAAATGGCACACAGTGTTTGTGGCTGGAGCTAATGCTGGAAACCATCCCTTCCCTTAGATTGTCCTCGAGGGACAATGGGGGGAAGATTTCCGCAGCGACGTGGCACTGGATGATCTGTCCATTGAAAAGGGATACTGCCCAGGTACCTCATCACCCGGCTTGGCAAAGGGCAGCTTGCTTGTCATGGCAGTCAATGTAGCTTCTGCCTTGAAGAGGATCTGGTCAAGGGGGATTGATTGACATGTGCCATTGTGTCTCTTGTAGGCGATGTGCCTTCAACACCTGGCACCAGCACACCAACACCTGGGACACCAACACCCTCGCCAGGCTCAGGTGAGTGGAGCAGACGAGTCACGGGGCTGCAGCGTTCGGTCAGGGTGGGCTGTGGAGAGGAGGCGGCAGGAGGTGCATCACTGAACGTTTCCTCTGGTCCTTCCTCTGTCAGGGACCTGTGTGGTGGAAGGAGACCCTCACTACCACACCTTTGACAATCAAATACACCACTTCATGGGCACCTGCACCTACACCCTGTCCAAGCTGTGTGAGAGCAACAGCTCGCTGCCCTACTTCAACGTGGAAGCGGCCAATGAGCACAGGGGAGGCAACACGCGCGTGTCCTACGTCCAGTACGTGGATGTCGATGTGTATGGCCAGCGCATAAGGCTGGGGAAGGGCGGCGTGGTGACGGTAAGCGCAGGGGGGAGCAACGTCGGGGCTGTGTCAGGACAGAGAGCCGCGCCAAACGGGTTGCTCCAACCCTCTCTTGGTTGGTGTCCTTGCAGGTCAACGGAGTGGCAGAGGTGCTGCCCTGCACCCCGTCGGCAGGCGTGCAGGTCTCGTCCAGCGGCTTCTACACTGTGGTCACGACAGACTTTGGCTTGAGAGTGAAGTTTGATGGGAACCATCTGGTGGAGGTGACGCTTCCGAGCACCTTTGGGCAGAAGGTTTGTGGCATGTGTGGGAACTACAACGGGATGGCAGCAGACGACTTCCTGAACCCGGACGGGGTGCTGGAGCCAGACTCCACCAGCCTGGGTAACAGCTGGCAGGTGTCCAACGACAGCAGGTGCGTGTGTCCCCCGCGTAGGTGCGGGGATGTGTCGCGCGAGGGGAGGAGGCGGCACCAGAAGAAGCCCACAGCTAACCCAGGGGCCCTTCTCCCTGCCTTTCCACAGCTGCTCAGCCGGACAGCCTGCCCCGCCAGCCTGTAGTGAGGCCGACAAGCAAGTCATTGCCAGCAGCCGCTTCTGCGGACTCCTCACTGACAGCAGCAGCCCCTTTGAGGTGTGCCACGCCGTGCTGAGTCCCAGCGATTACTTCAACACCTGCCTTTACGACCTGTGTGAGCTGGGGCTGAATGACAAGGCCCTGTGCAACAGCTTGCAGGCCTATGCGGATGCCTGCCAGGCGCTTGGTGTCAAGCTCCCTGCGTGGAGGAACGCGACATTCTGCCGTAAGTCAGAAGCAGGGAAGCACCCCATTTCCCTGGGCTGGCCAGCCGCCGTGGCAAGGAGCACCCTTTGTCCACCAGATCCCCATCGTGGTCCTTTCCCTGCGGAAGGCATCACGTGGGGGCATGGTGGGAACGGGGTGATGATGCCAGTTTCCAAAACATGCGGTGAAGCCTGCCTACCTTGAGGGCATTCTGAGTGTAGGGTTACCGATGGTTTCACTGCTACTCCTTTTGCCTTGGCAGCCATCACCTGTCCAGCCAACAGTCACTACGAGCCCTGTGCTGCAGCCTGCCCTGCCACCTGTGTTGACCCTATGGCTCCCGTCACCTGCAGTCTGCCGTGCGTGGAGGGTTGTGTGTGCGACAGCGGGTTCCTGCTCTACAATGACCGATGTGTGCCCAGCCAGCAGTGCGGGTGCTGGCACAATGGGCAGCACTACCCGGTGGGCTCGGAGTTCTGGACGGACAACAGCTGCTCCACAAAGTGCACGTGTCCCACGCGGGGAGGCAAAGTCCAATGCTCCAGCGCCTCATGTCCTGCGGGCCAGTACTGTGGTGTGCAGAATGGGAAACCCGAGTGCCTTGACCACACATATGGCATCTGCCACGTCCACGGTGACCCTCACTACGTTACCTTTGACAAGGTGACGCACGACTTCATGGGGAACTGCACCTACACCCTGGCCAAAGTGTGCTCCAACAGCTCCGTGCCCTACTTCAATGTTGAGGCAAAGAACGAGCATCGTGGCAACCCCCGAGTGTCGTACGTGCGCGAAGTCCTGGTCGAGGTGTACGGAGAGCGCATTGCAATAGTCAAGCAGGAGAGGAGCCAAGTGCTGGTAAGGAGCTGGGCTGGCTCAAGCACGGTGTGTGTGCGAGGCGGGGCTGGCTTTTCTTGGCAGGGCCTTCCCTCTTCTCTGCTAAATGGGTCCCCAGAGTGCAGCAGAAGTATGGCTGTGCAGCTGCTGGGGTGTCTGTGCGAGCGGGGCTCGTGGTCCTGTGGGGCCGAGGGCCCCAGAGAGACCACGGTCCATTGCGGTGCGTCTGCCCTAGGTGAACGGTGTGCGCCGGACCTTGCCGGTGAGTGCAGCAGGAGGAGCCATCAGAGTGAGCACAAGCGGCCGCTACATCGTCCTGGAGACGGACTTCAACCTCAGAGTGTCCTACGATGCCGACCACTCGGTGGAGGTGAGGGTGCCCACCACCTACTCCAACCTGACCTGCGGCATGTGCGGGAACTTCAACAGCCGGCGAGAGGACGACTACATGATGCCCGACGGGCAGCAAGCCGCAGACTCCAATGCATTGGGGGAGAGCTGGAAGGTGCCCGACGGTGACCCCTCTTGCGGTGTGCCCCCACCCCTGGAACCCTGCAGTGCGGAAGAGGAGAAGCTCTACCAATCGGAGCAGTTCTGTGGCATACTGACTGCCAGCCCAGGCTTTTTTGAGAGCTGCCATGCCGTGATCAACCCCCAGAGCTACTTTGACACCTGCTCCTACGACCTTTGTGCCCTGAGTGGCAGCCAGGACGTCCTGTGTGGTGCCCTGGAGGCCTACGCTGACGCGTGCCAGGCAGCCGGCGTGACTCTTCTCCCCTGGAGGAATGCCACCTTCTGCCGTGAGTACCTGCCTTGGAGTTGCCAGAGGAAAGCGGGCCTCTCCCTGTGCCCAGTACCTCTGGCAAAGCAGCGATCAACGACTCGTTCGGTGGTCTTCGCCTTCCCAGAAGGTAGCCCCTTCCCGGAGGGCTTTGCAGGTCCTAACTGTCCCCTTCCCGTTGCAGCCCTGCGGTGCCCTGCCAACAGCTACTATGACCCTTGCATGACTGGCTGTCCTGCCACCTGCGTTGACCAACAAGCCCCGCAGAACTGCTCCAAGCCCTGCATGGAGGGCTGCGCGTGCACCTCTGGCTTCCTCCTCAGCGGAGACGCCTGCGTGCCCGAGGCCAACTGTGGCTGCCTCTTTGAGGGCAACTACTACAGCGTGAGTGAAAACCCTGTGGCGTCTCGCTCCCCTCCCGAGGCACTGCTTTGCCTCTACTTGCCTGCCTGACGTGATGGGGCTCCGGGTTTCTCTGCCTGCAGGAGGGAGAGCACTTGGTGAACGAGAACTGCACTAGGCAGTGCCAGTGTGAAGCCAACGGCCAGATGGTTTGCTCTGAGTTGTCCTGTGGTGAGGAGGAGATCTGCAAGATCCAGGACGGCCAGCCGGGCTGTTACCCAGCCAGCACAGCTCTCTGCCACATCTACGGCGACCCGCATTACAGCACCTTCGACGGGAAGCTTCACCACTTCCAGGGCTCCTGCAACTACACCGTGGTGACGGCCTGTGACAACTCCTCCCTCGGCTTCAGCATCACCACGCGCAACGAACATCGGGGCAGCCCGAGCTGGACGGCTCTGAACTCCGTCGCGCTGTCCGTGGAAGGCCTCCACATTGCACTGCGCAAGAACAAGGCAGTCTACGTAAGCGCCCCTCACTGTTAGGCCTGGGAACACAGATATCCAAAGTACCATTAGTAGCACGGTTCCCCCAAAGAGCTTGATGTTGCCTGAACCTGCTGGCGTGCTCCCACGAGAGCACAGCGAGCCTGTGAGTGGGGCAGACAGGACGGCTGGCGCAGCAACAGAGTTTCTGCCTGCTGTCCCGAGCTTTGTGCGTGCTGTCCGTGGGGTAGCTGCTGTTCTCGTAGGGCTGGGCGCGGTTCCTCATGCCGTCAGCGCTTGTGGCTCGGTGGGCCCTGGCACCACCGCAGTGAAGAGCAGTGAGTTGGCAGCGGAGGGCCCGTCTTTATGCTTCTCTCTCCCCCTCTCCTCCCTGTTCAGATCAACGGTGCTCTGGCCTCCCTGCCTGCTTCTCCAGCCCCCGGTGTGACCATTTCTCTGAGTGGCTCCTACGTGCAGGTCTCTACCAAGCTGGGCCTGCAGGTGCAGTTCAACGGGGACCATGAGCTCCTTGTGAGGGTGTCCGAGAAGCACCAGGGCAAGCTGTGTGGGTTGTGTGGAACATACACCGGGAGACAAGAGGACGACTTCACACGACCCGATGGGGTCGTTGTGCCTGACACCAATGCCTTTGGAGACAGCTGGAGGGTGCCGGATGACGAGTGGCCGTGAGTCCTTGTTGTGTCGCGTAGATGACGGACAAAGGGGAGCATGAGAGAGGGGAGCTGTGAGCAGCGCGAGGAAGGAGGGTTGGTAGTGTTAGTCACGCACGGGGCAGGTAGCAGGAGGCAGTTGTGGGAAAGCGTGAGGGAGCGTATGGAGGCTCCACAGCAGCAGGCACACGGCTCTTGCATCTCGCTTCTGTGCTGCATCCACCCGTGGGATGTGCTGTCTGCAGCTGGATTCCTGACGTGTGGCTGTTCCCCTTTGTCCTCAAGGCTGGCTTGCTAGTGGCAGTGCCCAGGCCGCACCACACGATCAGGGTGCATGGTGCTGTCTCCCCGGAGGCTCTGTGCCCTGGGGCCCTGGGTGACCTCCATGCCGGGCCCTGTGTCCTACTCCACACACTGCATGTCGCTGCTCCTGACCCCGGAGAGGGTGGGCCGGGGCATGAGCACGGTGCTATTGCCAAGCTGTGTGGTCACAGGTGCCTCAGCTGCCTGCTTCTGTGTCTCTGACGTCTGTCTGCTTTGCAGGTGTGACACAATCCCCGTACCACCTCCATCCTGCTCCCCCTCTGCGGAGGAGGCAGCTAACAAGGAGTGTGCAATCCTCACGCAACCCGGTGGCCCGTTCCAGCCATGCCACGCAGTTCTGCCACCCGAGACGTACTTTGAGAGCTGTGTCTATGACCATTGTGCCACGGTGGCAGCACGGAGCAGCTCTGCAATGTCCTGGGTGCCTATGCTGCAGCCTGTGCTGTGGCAGGTGTTTGCTCTGGGAGACTGGAGTGCTGGCACTGTCTGTGGTGAGTGTCCCGTTGATCTCGTTTCAACTGTGGCTTCAAGGAAAAGGGCAGCAGGGTTTACTCTGTGTATCACCAGATGTTGTTGGGTCAGTGTACTTGTTATGCTGGGATGCATTTAACTTTGTTTAGCAAAGCTCCTTGTGACAGGGATACTGTGGCATTGCTGACCTTCACTCCGTTTTCCATGGTACTTTGTTGTCTGGGAAGGGTGGAATAACTGCCTGGAAGAAATCGCCATTATGAAACACAGCCTCTATACCACTTTCTCACTGTAGGTTCAACGGTTCCTCCAACCTCCACCCCCTTGCCAGGTACTACAACGCAGCCTCCCCACACAACTTCACCTGCGACAAGCACAGGTATGTTTAATTCCTGTCCGTGTTTTTTTTAACTGGCTGTGGTAAGTGCTGGGCTCAAGTACTTTCACTTGGTTGGCCTCCTCACCTGGCCACGAGCATGCCAGGGATGTAGGTGTGCCATGTGGGACACGGGGCAAACATGGTAGCCATCATCAGCAAGACTCACATGGTGCTCAGGTTCTGTCCTGTCCCATGCCCACCTTCTGCTTGTGGCAACTGTTCAGGTCCTTGCCTTTAAAGCCCCCGTTTGAAGGACAGAGTGGCTGTAGGGAAGGGGCTATGCTTCTCCTTTTATCACCCAGCTACGCTGGTGGCACAGCCTGCAAGTAGTGTGCCTCTTCTTGAGGAGTGATCCCTGTATGCTTTCTTCCCTGCGCTTCTCTTGTCATGGCGTTGGGGTGTTTGGGCAGGGCAGACCAGCTGCCTGGAACAAAATTCCCATGTTGACACAGACCTCTTCTGCCTATGCGTAGGTCCGCTGCCTCCAACAGCCTTGACTCCGTTGCCAGACAGCACAACACAGCCTACACACACACTGCCACCAACCACACCTGTGCCAAGCTCAGGTATCAGAGCCTTCTGCCCCCTTTTTTGCAGTTGTTATTAGCTGTTTCAGTCGTCTTCACTACCATTAGGGGACAAACGGAGCATTTGCGTTGGAGAGGCTGTTACTTTCTTTGTGTCACTCAATTGCTGTGGTAACAGACATTGACTACTCGGACCCTTTCAAAGCTGCTAGGGTGGGATCACTGCTCTGGGCAGCAGTGCCTGAAGCACTGAGGGGTATAAGTGATATGGAGTGGCACTGTAACAGAAAGTCCAGTGTTGACAGTTTTCCACTAGCTCTGTCTCCCGGAGATGAGTCACGAGGCTACAGGTTCGGTCAGGGTGGGCTGTGGAGAGGAGGCGGCAGGAGGGTGCCATCACTGAACGTTTCTCTGGTCCTTCCTACTGTCAGGGACCTGTGTGGTGGAAGGAGACCCTCACTACCACACCTTTGACAATCAAATACACCACTTCATGGGCACCTGCACCTACACCCTGTCCAAGCTGTGTGAGAGCAACAGCTCGCTGCCCTACTTCAACGTGGAAGCGGCCAATGAGCACAGGGGAGGCAACACGCGCGTGTCCTACGTCCAGTACGTGGATGTCGATGTGTATGGCCAGCGCATAAGGCTGGGGAAGGGCGGCGTGGTGACGGTAAGCGCAGGGGGGAGCAACGTCGGGCTGTGTCAGGACAGAGAGCCGCGCCAAACGGGTTGCTCCAACCCTCTCTTGGTTGGTGTCCTTGCAGGTCAACGGAGTGGCAGAGGTGCTGCCCTGCACCCCGTCGGCAGGCGTGCAGGTCTCGTCCAGCGGCTTCTACACTGTGGTCACGACAGACTTTGGCTTGAGAGTGAAGTTTGATGGGAACCATCTGGTGGAGGTGACGCTTCCGAGCACCTTTGGGCAGAAGGTTTGTGGCATGTGTGGGAACTACAACGGATGGCAGCAGACGACTTCCTGAACCCGGACGGGGTGCTGGAGCCAGACTCACCAGCCTGGGTAACAGCTGGCAGGTGTCCAACGACAGCAGGTGCGTGTGTCCCCCGCTTAGGTGCGGGGACTTGGTCGCGCGAGGGGAGGAGGCGGCACCAGAAGAAGCCAACAGCTAACCCAGGGGCCCTTCTCCCTGCCTTTCCACAGCTGCTCAGCCGGACCAGCCCGCCCCGCCAGCCTGTAGTGAGGCCGACAAGCAAGTCATTGCCAGCAGCCGCTTCTGCGGACTCCTCACTGACAGCAGCAGCCCCTTTGAGGTGTGCCACGCCGTGCTGAGTCCCCAGCGGTTACTTCAACACCTGCCTTTACGGACCTGTGTGAGCTGGGGCTGAATGACAAGGCCCTGTGCAACAGCTTGCAGGCCTATGCGGATGCCTGCCAGGCGCTTGGTGTCAAGCTCCCTGCGTGGAGGAACGCGACATTCTGCCGTAAGTCAGAAGCAGGGAAGCAACCCCATTTTCCCTGGGCTGGCCAGCCGCCGTGGCAAGGAGCACCCTTTGTCCACCAGATCCCCATCGTGGTCCTTTCCCTGCGGAAGGCATCACGTGGGGGCATGGTGGGAACGGGGGTGATGATGCCAGTTTCCAAAACATGCGGTGAAGCCTGCCTACCTTGAGGGCATTCTGAGTGTAGGGTTACCGATGGTTTCACTGCTACTCCTTTTGCCTTGGCAGCCATCACCTGTCCAGCCAAAGTCACTACGAGCCCTGTGCTGCAGCCTGCCCTGCCACCTGTGTTGACCCATTAGCACCGTATAAATGCAGCCTGCGTGCGTGGAGTGGAGGGTTGCTGTGTGCGACAGCGGGTACCTGCTCTACAATGACCGATGTGTGCCCAGCCAGCAGTGCGGGTTGCTGGCACAATGGGCAGCACTACCCGGTGGGCTCGGAGTTCTGGACGGACAACAGCTGCTCCACAAAGTGCACGTGTCCCACGCGGGGAGGCAAAGTCCCAGTGCTCCAGCGCCTCATGCCCTGCGGGCCATTACTGTGGTGTGCAGAATGGGAAACCCGAGTGCCTTGACCACACATATGGCATCTGCCACGTACACAACGATCCTCACTACGTTACCTTTGACAAGGTGACGCACAGCTTCATGGGGAACTGCACCTACACCCTGGCCAAGTGTGCTCCAACAGCTCCGTGCCCTACTTCAATGTTGAGGCAAAGAACGAGCATCGTGGCAAACCCCCGAGTGTCGTACGTGCGCGAAGTCCTGGTCGAGGTGTACGGAGAGCGCATTGCAATAGTCAAGCAGGAGAGGAGCCAAGTGCTGGTAAGGAGCTGGGCTGGCTCAAGCACGGTGTGTGTGTGAGGCGGGGCTGGCTTTTCTTGGCAGGGCCTTCCCTCTTCTCTGCTAAATGGGTCCCCAGAGTGCAGCAGATGTATGGCTGTGCAGCTGCAGGGGTGTCTGTGCGAGCGGGGCTCGTGGTCTGTGGGGCCGAGGGCCCCAGAGAGACCACGGTCCATTGCGGTGCGTCTGCCCTAGGTGAACGGTGTGCGCCGGACCTTGCCGGTGAGTGCAGCAGGAGGAGCCATCAGAGTGAGCACAAGCGGCCGCTACATCGTCCTGGAGACGGACTTCAACCTCAGAGTGTCCTACGACGCCGACCACTCGGTGGAGGTGAGGGTGCCCACCACCTACTCCAACCTGACCTGCGGCATGTGCGGGAACTTCAACAGCCGGCGAGAGGACGACTACATGATGCCCGACGGGCAGCAAGCCGCAGACTCCAATGCATTGGGGGAGAGCTGGAAGGTGCCCGACGGTGACCCCTCTTGCGGTGTGCCCCCACCCCTGGAACCCTGCAGTGCAGAAGAGGAGAAGCTCTACCAATCGGAGCAGTTCTGTGGCATACTGACTGCCAGCCCAGGCTTTTTTGAGAGCTGCCATGCCGTGATCAACCCCCAGAGCTACTTTGACACCTGCTCCTACGACCTTTGTGCCCTGAGTGGCAGCCAGGACGTCCTGTGTGGTGCCCTGGAGGCCTACGCTGACGCGTGCCAGGCAGCCGGCGTGACTCTTCTCCCCTGGAGGAATGCCACCTTCTGCCGTGAGTACCTGCCTTGGAGTTGCCAGAGGAAAGCGGGCCTCTCCCTGTGCCCAGTACCTCTGGCAAAGCAGCGATCAACGACTCGTTCGGTGGTCTTCGCCTTCCCAGAAGGTAGCCCCTTCCCGGAGGGCTTTGCAGGTCCTAACTGTCCCCTTCCCGTTGCAGCCCTGCGGTGCCCTGCCAACAGCTACTATGACCCTTGCATGACTGGCTGTCCTGCCACCTGCGTTGACCAACAAGCCCCGCAGAACTGCTCCAAGCCCTGCATGGAGGGCTGCGCGTGCACCTCTGGCTTCCTCCTCAGCGGAGACGCCTGCGTGCCCGAGGCCAACTGTGGCTGCCTCTTTGAGGGCAACTACTACAGCGTGAGTGAAAACCCTGTGGCGTCTCGCTCCCCTCCCGAGGCACTGCTTTGCCTCTACTTGCCTGCCTGACGTGATGGGGCTCCGGGTTTCTCTGCCTGCAGGAGGAGAGCACTTGGTGAACGAGAACTGCACTAGGCAGTGCCAGTGTGAAGCCAACGGCCAGATGGTTGCTCTGAGTTGTCCTGTGGTGAGGAGGAGATCTGCAAGATCCAGGACGGCCAGCCGGGCTGTTACCCAGCCAGCACAGCTCTCTGCCACATCTACGGCGACCCGCATTACAGCACCTTCGACGGGAAGCTTCACCACTTCCAGGGCTCCTGCAACTACACCGTGGTGACGGCCTGTGACAACTCCTCCCTCGGCTTCAGCATCACCACGCGCAACGAACATCGGGGCAGCCCGAGCTGGACGGCTCTGAACTCCGTCGCGCTGTCCGTGGAAGGCCTCCACATTGCACTGCGCAAGAACAAGGCAGTCTACGTAAGCGCCCCTCACTGTTAGGCCTGGGAACACAGATATCCAAAGTACCATTAGTAGCACGGTTCCCCCAAAGAGCTTGATGTTGCCTGAACCTGCTGGCGTGCTCCCACGAGAGCACAGCGAGCCTGTGAGTGGGGCAGACAGGACGGCTGGCGCAGCAACAGAGTTTCTGCCTGCTGTCCCGAGCTTTGTGCGTGCTGTCCGTGGGGTAGCTGCTGTTCTCGTAGGGCTGGGCGCGGTTCCTCATGCCGTCAGCGCTTGTGGCTCGGTGGGCCCTGGCACCACCGCAGTGAAGAGCAGTGAGTTGGCAGCGGAGGGCCCGTCTTTATGCTTCTCTCTCCCCCTCTCCTCCCTGTTCAGATCAACGGTGCTCTGGCCTCCCCTGCCTGCTTCTCCAGCCCCCGGTGTGACCATTTCTCTGAGTGGCTCCTACGTGCAGGTCTCTACCAAGCTGGGCCTGCAGGTGCAGTTCAACGGGGACCATGAGCTCCTTGTGAGGGTGTCCGAGAAGCACCAGGGCAAGCTGTGTGGGTTGTGGGAACATACACCGGGAGACAAGAGGACGACTTCACACGACCCGATGGGGTCGTTGTGCCTGACACCAATGACTTTGGAAACAGCTGGAGGGTGCCGGATGACGAGTGGCCGTGAGTCCTTGTTGTGTCGCGTAGATGACGGACAAAGGGGAGCATGAGAGAGGGGAGCTGTGAGCAGCGCGAGGAAGGAGGGTTGGTAGTGTTAGTCACGCACGGGGCAGGTAGCAGGAGGCAGTTGTGGGAAAGCGTGAGGGAGCGTATGGAGGCTCCACAGCAGCAGGCACACGGCTCTTGCATCTCGCTTCTGTGCTGCATCCACCCGTGGGATGTGCTGTCTGCAGCTGGATTCCTGACGTGTGGCTGTTCCCCTTTGTCCTCAAGGCTGGCTTGCTAGTGGCAGTGCCCAGGCCGCACCACACGATCAGGGTTGCATGGTGCTGTCTCCCCGGAGGCTCTGTGCCCTGGGGCCCTGGGTGACCTCCATGCCGGGCCCTGTGTCCTACTCCACACACTGCATGTCGCTGCTCCTGACCCCAGAGAGGGTGGGCCGGGGCATGAGCACGGTGCTATTGCCAAGCTGGTGTGGTCACAGGTGCCTCAGCTGCCTGCTTCTGTGTCTCTGACGTCTGTCTGCTTTGCAGGTGTGACACAATCCCCGTACCACCTCCATCCTGCTCCCCCTCTGCGGAGGAGGCAGCTAACAAGGAGTGTGCAATCCTCACGCAACCCGGTGGCCCGTTCCAGCCATGCCACGCAGTTCTGCCACCCGAGACGTACTTTGAGAGCTGTGTCTATGACCATTGTGCCACGAGTGGCAGCACGGAGCAGCTCTGCAACGCCCTGGGTGCCTATGCTGCAGCCTGTGCTGAGGCAGGTGTTGCTCTGGGAGACTGGAGTGCTGGCACTGTCTGTGGTGAGTGTCCCATTTGGGTTTGCTTTCATGACTGAGCTGTGACGATCTCCCGCACAGATTCTGTGGGATTGAAAAGTCAGAGATCATGGGTGTTCTTTTCTTTTACGTTCCTTGTCCTTAAGTCTTGTGGCTAAGGTTTAAGATCCTGGACCCTCTCATTGCCACAGGAAATCTGCTGGGTGTGCACAATACTTCCTAGACTTGCAGTCCAGGGAGGCTTGCCTTCTCTGCCAGAGGAGTCCTGCCCAGAATGTTCTTGTGTTCCTGACCGCATTGCTTGTGCTTAGTTTGGAAGCGGCCTGTCCAGGGTGTAGTGTCATCAGCGTTTTGGCATTAGGAAGGCAGACGTTGCTTGAGGGATGTTAGAGGACGGCATCCCACTGCCCATCAAAGATGACTAAGACCTTACTGACAACTGTCCCTCTCTTATTTGAAGTGCTGTGCTGCTTCACGGATAAGGCAGAAAGGCCCTAATGTTGTAGGAAATCATTGATAGTATTTAGCCCAAGACAGAGCCCCTGACCTTCTGGGAGGCATAGCAAGGTACCACCTGTAGATGTGGAGAGAAGAAGGGGGGACCCAGAGGAGGGAGAGAGGAAGAAGCCTTCACCAATGAACATTGGGGAATGCCCGGGATAGGGACAATGTCCTGGGAACAGCCTTGCTCCTCAGCCTGCCTGTCCTCAGGTTGATCTCTACTACACCACGATGCTGCCTACTTGCACTTGGTTGGCCATTCTCACCCGGCCATGAGCACGCCAGGGGTGTTGGTGTGCCCTGTGGGACACTGGGAAAAGGTGGCCCCACCCTTACTTTAGAAACTCTGCTTTCCTTTCCGCACCGTATCCAGCTTTGCCAACAGCCTGCAATTTCGACTGCACATTTGACGTCGACCTCTGTGAGTGGGTCCAGGAGGCGTCCAGCAGCATCGACTGGACAAGGCACAAGGGGCCAACACCATCGCCAGATACCGGCCCTTCCTTCGACCACACAACAGGAGGTAGGAGCAGCAGCCAGCTTGTGACGGTCATTCAGGCCGAGGGGTGTCCTTAGGAAGATGGCAACAAACCTTTTCCAACAGCGAATACAGGCCGAATGTTTCCTGGATTTGATCCAGAGCCATTTGTAGCAGTCTCCCCCAGGGCCAGAGCCTTTCTTTAGGAAGCTTTTCAGGTGTGGGAATCAGTCTGTGGTACTGCCAGGACAGGCAACGATCTGTCGTGCAAGGGGAGAAGAAATGCAAAGCTTGATGGCAGACTGTCTTGGGGGAACAGGAACGGGTCTCTTCTAGGAGACACTGGCTTCTCCAGAAGCCAACGATGAGTGGGCCCCAAAGCTGCAGAGCCATGCTAGGATGATGGCGGTGCTTCGGAGGTGATGCCGTTGCCATAGAGCTGGCACGTCCTCTGGGAGCACGGTTTGTAGGTAGACTTGGGGCTGGGGGGTTGTGGCTAGTGAAGAAGCTCTCTTTGTTCCTTTTGCCTGCCTTAAACTGCAGCAGGAGGCACTCCCACGACTGTGCGTGGGTTGTTCCTGCGTGCTTTGTCTAGATTTGATGGTGTGCGACAGTGTGGCTGGCACTTTGTTTCAGACGGCTACTACATCTACCTGCATGGAAGCTCCTATTACGAATACTTGGTGTCTCAGCTGGTCAGCCCGGTGTGCAACTCAACGGGACCGCACTGCTTCCGCTTCTGGTACCACATGTACGGCGTGGCTGAAGAAATGGCCCTGCGGGTGTACGTGACTAGGGACAAAGAACTTCTGCAGGTTTGGGAAGCAACTGGGAACCACGGGGACAGATGGCACTTGGGAGAGGTCACGGTGCACAGCACAGGAAACATGCAGGTGAGGGCAGAGGCTCAAACTGCCATCTGAGACGGGGTGTGCTTTGAAATGGCACACAGTGTTTGTGGCTGGAGCTAATGCTGGAAACCATCCCTTCCCTTAGATTGTCCTCGAGGGACAATGGGGGGAAGATTTCCGCAGCGACGTGGCACTGGATGATCTGTCCATTGAAAAGGGATACTGCCCAGGTACCTCATCACCCGGCTTGGCAAAGGGCAGCTTGCTTGTCATGGCAGTCAATGTAGCTTCTGCCTTGAAGAGGATCTGGTCAAGGGGGATTGATTGACATGTGCCATTGTGTCTCTTGTAGGCGATGTGCCTTCAACACCTGGCACCAGCACACCAACACCTGGGACACCAACACCCTCGCCAGGCTCAGGTGAGTGGAGCAGACGAGTCACGGGGCTGCAGCGTTCGGTCAGGGTGGGCTGTGGAGAGGAGGCGGCAGGAGGTGCATCACTGAACGTTTCCTCTGGTCCTTCCTCTGTCAGGGACCTGTGTGGTGGAAGGAGACCCTCACTACCACACCTTTGACAATCAAATACACCACTTCATGGGCACCTGCACCTACACCCTGTCCAAGCTGTGTGAGAGCAACAGCTCGCTGCCCTACTTCAACGTGGAAGCGGCCAATGAGCACAGGGGAGGCAACACGCGCGTGTCCTACGTCCAGTACGTGGATGTCGATGTGTATGGCCAGCGCATAAGGCTGGGGAAGGGCGGCGTGGTGACGGTAAGCGCAGGGGGGAGCAACGTCGGGGCTGTGTCAGGACAGAGAGCCGCGCCAAACGGGTTGCTCCAACCCTCTCTTGGTTGGTGTCCTTGCAGGTCAACGGAGTGGCAGAGGTGCTGCCCTGCACCCCGTCGGCAGGCGTGCAGGTCTCGTCCAGCGGCTTCTACACTGTGGTCACGACAGACTTTGGCTTGAGAGTGAAGTTTGATGGGAACCATCTGGTGGAGGTGACGCTTCCGAGCACCTTTGGGCAGAAGGTTTGTGGCATGTGTGGGAACTACAACGGGATGGCAGCAGACGACTTCCTGAACCCGGACGGGGTGCTGGAGCCAGACTCCACCAGCCTGGGTAACAGCTGGCAGGTGTCCAACGACAGCAGGTGCGTGTGTCCCCCGCGTAGGTGCGGGGATGTGTCGCGCGAGGGGAGGAGGCGGCACCAGAAGAAGCCCACAGCTAACCCAGGGGCCCTTCTCCCTGCCTTTCCACAGCTGCTCAGCCGGACAGCCTGCCCCGCCAGCCTGTAGTGAGGCCGACAAGCAAGTCATTGCCAGCAGCCGCTTCTGCGGACTCCTCACTGACAGCAGCAGCCCCTTTGAGGTGTGCCACGCCGTGCTGAGTCCCAGCGATTACTTCAACACCTGCCTTTACGACCTGTGTGAGCTGGGGCTGAATGACAAGGCCCTGTGCAACAGCTTGCAGGCCTATGCGGATGCCTGCCAGGCGCTTGGTGTCAAGCTCCCTGCGTGGAGGAACGCGACATTCTGCCGTAAGTCAGAAGCAGGGAAGCACCCCATTTCCCTGGGCTGGCCAGCCGCCGTGGCAAGGAGCACCCTTTGTCCACCAGATCCCCATCGTGGTCCTTTCCCTGCGGAAGGCATCACGTGGGGGGCATGGTGGGAACGGGGTGATGATGCCAGTTTCCAAAACATGCGGTGAAGCCTGCCTACCTTGAGGGCATTCTGAGTGTAGGGTTACCGATGGTTTCACTGCTACTCCTTTTGCCTTGGCAGCCATCACCTGTCCAGCCAACAGTCACTACGAGCCCTGTGCTGCAGCCTGCCCTGCCACCTGTGTTGACCCTATGGCTCCCGTCACCTGCAGTCTGCCGTGCGTGGAGGGTTGTGTGTGCGACAGCGGGTTCCTGCTCTACAATGACCGATGTGTGCCCAGCCAGCAGTGCGGGTGCTGGCACAATGGGCAGCACTACCCGGTGGGCTCGGAGTTCTGGACGGACAACAGCTGCTCCACAAAGTGCACGTGTCCCACGCGGGGAGGCAAAGTCCAATGCTCCAGCGCCTCATGTCCTGCGGGCCAGTACTGTGGTGTGCAGAATGGGAAACCCGAGTGCCTTGACCACACATATGGCATCTGCCACGTCCACGGTGACCCTCACTACGTTACCTTTGACAAGGTGACGCACGACTTCATGGGGAACTGCACCTACACCCTGGCCAAGTGTGCTCCAACAGCTCCGTGCCCTACTTCAATGTTGAGGCAAAGAACGAGCATCGTGGCAACCCCCGAGTGTCGTACGTGCGCGAAGTCCTGGTCGAGGTGTACGGAGAGCGCATTGCAATAGTCAAGCAGGAGAGGAGCCAAGTGCTGGTAAGGAGCTGGGCTGGCTCAAGCACGGTGTGTGTGCGAGGCGGGGCTGGCTTTTCTTGGCAGGGCCTTCCCTCTTCTCTGCTAAATGGGTCCCCAGAGTGCAGCAGAAGTATGGCTGTGCAGCTGCTGGGGTGTCTGTGCGAGCGGGGCTCGTGGTCCTGTGGGGCCGAGGGCCCCAGAGAGACCACGGTCCATTGCGGTGCGTCTGCCCTAGGTGAACGGTGTGCGCCGGACCTTGCCGGTGAGTGCAGCAGGAGGAGCCATCAGAGTGAGCACAAGCGGCCGCTACATCGTCCTGGAGACGGACTTCAACCTCAGAGTGTCCTACGATGCCGACCACTCGGTGGAGGTGAGGGTGCCCACCACCTACTCCAACCTGACCTGCGGCATGTGCGGGAACTTCAACAGCCGGCGAGAGGACGACTACATGATGCCCGACGGGCAGCAAGCCGCAGACTCCAATGCATTGGGGGAGAGCTGGAAGGTGCCCGACGGTGACCCCTCTTGCGGTGTGCCCCCACCCCTGGAACCCTGCAGTGCGGAAGAGGAGAAGCTCTACCAATCGGAGCAGTTCTGTGGCATACTGACTGCCAGCCCAGGCTTTTTTGAGAGCTGCCATGCCGTGATCAACCCCCAGAGCTACTTTGACACCTGCTCCTACGACCTTTGTGCCCTGAGTGGCAGCCAGGACGTCCTGTGTGGTGCCCTGGAGGCCTACGCTGACGCGTGCCAGGCAGCCGGCGTGACTCTTCTCCCCTGGAGGAATGCCACCTTCTGCCGTGAGTACCTGCCTTGGAGTTGCCAGAGGAAAGCGGGCCTCTCCCTGTGCCCAGTACCTCTGGCAAAGCAGCGATCAACGACTCGTTCGGTGGTCTTCGCCTTCCCAGAAGGTAGCCCCTTCCCGGAGGGCTTTGCAGGTCCTAACTGTCCCCTTCCCGTTGCAGCCCTGCGGTGCCCTGCCAACAGCTACTATGACCCTTGCATGACTGGCTGTCCTGCCACCTGCGTTGACCAACAAGCCCCGCAGAACTGCTCCAAGCCCTGCATGGAGGGCTGCGCGTGCACCTCTGGCTTCCTCCTCAGCGGAGACGCCTGCGTGCCCGAGGCCAACTGTGGCTGCCTCTTTGAGGGCAACTACTACAGCGTGAGTGAAAACCCTGTGGCGTCTCGCTCCCCTCCCGAGGCACTGCTTTGCCTCTACTTGCCTGCCTGACGTGATGGGGCTCCGGGTTTCTCTGCCTGCAGGAGGGAGAGCACTTGGTGAACGAGAACTGCACTAGGCAGTGCCAGTGTGAAGCCAACGGCCAGATGGTTTGCTCTGAGTTGTCCTGTGGTGAGGAGGAGATCTGCAAGATCCAGGACGGCCAGCCGGGCTGTTACCCAGCCAGCACAGCTCTCTGCCACATCTACGGCGACCCGCATTACAGCACCTTCGACGGGAAGCTTCACCACTTCCAGGGCTCCTGCAACTACACCGTGGTGACGGCCTGTGACAACTCCTCCCTCGGCTTCAGCATCACCACGCGCAACGAACATCGGGGCAGCCCGAGCTGGACGGCTCTGAACTCCGTCGCGCTGTCCGTGGAAGGCCTCCACATTGCACTGCGCAAGAACAAGGCAGTCTACGTAAGCGCCCCTCACTGTTAGGCCTGGGAACACAGATATCCAAAGTACCATTAGTAGCACGGTTCCCCCAAAGAGCTTGATGTTGCCTGAACCTGCTGGCGTGCTCCCACGAGAGCACAGCGAGCCTGTGAGTGGGGCAGACAGGACGGCTGGCGCAGCAACAGAGTTTCTGCCTGCTGTCCCGAGCTTTGTGCGTGCTGTCCGTGGGGTAGCTGCTGTTCTCGTAGGGCTGGGCGCGGTTCCTCATGCCGTCAGCGCTTGTGGCTCGGTGGGCCCTGGCACCACCGCAGTGAAGAGCAGTGAGTTGGCAGCGGAGGGCCCGTCTTTATGCTTCTCTCTCCCCCTCTCCTCCCTGTTCAGATCAACGGTGCTCTGGCCTCCCTGCCTGCTTCTCCAGCCCCCGGTGTGACCATTTCTCTGAGTGGCTCCTACGTGCAGGTCTCTACCAAGCTGGGCCTGCAGGTGCAGTTCAACGGGGACCATGAGCTCCTTGTGAGGGTGTCCGAGAAGCACCAGGGCAAGCTGTGTGGGTTGTGTGGAACATACACCGGGAGACAAGAGGACGACTTCACACGACCCGATGGGGTCGTTGTGCCTGACACCAATGCCTTTGGAGACAGCTGGAGGGTGCCGGATGACGAGTGGCCGTGAGTCCTTGTTGTGTCGCGTAGATGACGGACAAAGGGGAGCATGAGAGAGGGGAGCTGTGAGCAGCGCGAGGAAGGAGGGTTGGTAGTGTTAGTCACGCACGGGGCAGGTAGCAGGAGGCAGTTGTGGGAAAGCGTGAGGGAGCGTATGGAGGCTCCACAGCAGCAGGCACACGGCTCTTGCATCTCGCTTCTGTGCTGCATCCACCCGTGGGATGTGCTGTCTGCAGCTGGATTCCTGACGTGTGGCTGTTCCCCTTTGTCCTCAAGGCTGGCTTGCTAGTGGCAGTGCCCAGGCCGCACCACACGATCAGGGTGCATGGTGCTGTCTCCCCGGAGGCTCTGTGCCCTGGGGCCCTGGGTGACCTCCATGCCGGGCCCTGTGTCCTACTCCACACACTGCATGTCGCTGCTCCTGACCCCGGAGAGGGTGGGCCGGGGCATGAGCACGGTGCTATTGCCAAGCTGGTGTGGTCACAGGTGCCTCAGCTGCCTGCTTCTGTGTCTCTGACGTCTGTCTGCTTTGCAGGTGTGACACAATCCCCGTACCACCTCCATCCTGCTCCCCCTCTGCGGAGGAGGCAGCTAACAAGGAGTGTGCAATCCTCACGCAACCCGGTGGCCCGTTCCAGCCATGCCACGCAGTTCTGCCACCCGAGACGTACTTTGAGAGCTGTGTCTATGACCATTGTGCCACGGGTGGCAGCACGGAGCAGCTCTGCAATGTCCTGGGTGCCTATGCTGCAGCCTGTGCTGTGGCAGGTGTTGCTCTGGGAGACTGGAGTGCTGGCACTGTCTGTGGTGAGTGTCCCGTTGATCTCGTTTCAACTGTGGCTTCAAGGAAAAGGGCAGCAGGGTTTACTCTGTGTATCACCAGATGTTGTTGGGTCAGTGTACTTGTTATGCTGGGATGCATTTAACTTTGTTTAGCAAAGCTCCTTGTGACAGGGATACTGTGGCATTGCTGACCTTCACTCCGTTTTCCATGGTACTTTGTTGTCTGGGAAGGGTGGAATAACTGCCTGGAAGAAATCGCCATTATGAAACACAGCCTCTATACCACTTTCTCACTGTAGGTTCAACGGTTCCTCCAACCTCCACCCCCTTGCCAGGTACTACAACGCAGCCTCCCCACACAACTTCACCTGCGACAAGCACAGGTATGTTTAATTCCTGTCCGTGTTTTTTTTAACTGGCTGTGGTAAGTGCTGGGCTCAAGTACTTTCACTTGGTTGGCCTCCTCACCTGGCCACGAGCATGCCAGGGATGTAGGTGTGCCATGTGGGACACTGGGCAAACATGGTAGCCATCATCAGCAAGACTCACATGGTGCTCAGGTTCTGTCCTGTCCCATGCCCACCTTCTGCTTGTGGCAACTGTTCAGATCCTGAACAGGTCCTGAATGAAAAGTCAGGACCTGAATGAAAAGTCAGAGATCATGGGTGTTCTTTTCTTTTACGTTCCTTGTCCTTAAGTCTTGTGGCTAAGGTTTAAGATCCTGGACCCTCTCATTGCCACAGGAAATCTGCTGGGTGTGCACAATACTTCCTAGACTTGCAGTCCAGGGAGGCTTGCCTTCTCTGCCAGAGGAGTCCTGCCCAGAATGTTCTTGTGTTCCTGACCGCATTGCTTGTGCTTAGTGTGGAAGCGGCCTGTCCAGGGTGTAGTGTCATCAGCGTTTTGGCATTAGGAAGGCAGACGTTGCTTGAGGGATGTTAGAGGACGGCATCCCACTGCCCATCAAAGATGACTAAGACCCTACTGACGACTGTCCCTCTCTTATTTGAAGTGCTGTGCTGCTTCACGGATAAGGCAGAAAGGCCCTAATGTTGTAGGAAATCATTGATAGTATTTAGCCCAGCCTTGCTTGTCCTTAGTATGGAAGCAGCCTGTCCAGGGTGTAGTGTCATCAGCGTTTGTTTGAGTAGACGAGTCATGGTGCTGCAGTGTTCTGGTCAGGATGGGCTGTGGAGATGAGGTGGCAGGATGTGCTTAACTGGGCAGTGCACTGGGTCTGACTTGAATGAAGTACCTTCTTGTGCGAAGACCTTTTTTGATAGTGATACACAGTCATTCTTGCTGTACGCACAGTTTTCCATAATGTTTGCATAATTGGGAAGGGTGGAAGAGCTGCCTGAAAGAAATCTTCATTCTGAAAAGCAGCTTCTGTATCTCCATCTTGTTCTACATCCAACAGATCCTACTGCCTTGCCAAATGTTACTACACAGCCTCCATGGACAACAAAACCTGGAGTAAGCACAGGTATGCCTGTCCCCTGTTCATCTTTTCTACAAGCTGTGGTCAGCACTGGGCTAGAGTTCTTATCTTGTCAGGCCATTCTAAAGCATACCACGGATGCAGGCATGCCATATGGGAAACTGTGAAAAGATCATGGTCAGCACCAAAAAGTCCAGCAAGGAGCTCAGGAACTGTCAGCTGTGCCAATCTTCTACTGCGTTTGGCAACACTACTGTTTGCTTTCTTTGAGGTCCATGGCCAGGGGCTGGAAAAACTGTAGTAAAGGGGCTGGGCTTCTTTTTACAACCCAGCTATGCTGGTGGGAGAGCTTGAGAGGTGCGAGTTTTTCAGAAAAGCCACTGTTTGATTGTAGCTGTGGGCTTCTCTTGACATGGTGTTGGGGTGTTTGCGCAGAGTGGATCAACTGCCTGGAACAAACCTCCTGTCTTAATGCAGATCTCCTCTAATTCTCTCTTGCAGTGGCTCCATCAACATCTCAACCTGGGACTTCCTTGCCAGTCACCACAACACAGCCTGCACACACTCCATCACCACCAAGACCTACACCAAGTTCAGGTATAGCGTTTCTTGTTTATAAGTCTTTTATCTTCAGTTTCTATACTGTCCATTTGCATGAAGGTCCGGTAGCAAGTGTACTTCGTCTCTTGGAACCGGCCTTAGATTCTGCTTGTGTCACAGAATCATCTTGCTGACACAGCAGTTGAGTGCTGATGGTATTTCTGAAATGTCACTTTGGAACCACTGCTTTAGCACCCTGTTGCCATCACACTGGATTTTCTATTAAGCGTGAACCAGCTGTTTGGAATGAAACTCCCATGCTGACTTAGATCTCCCACTTTCTCTAGTGGTAGGTCCAATTACACCAAGACCCACAATTCCCTTGCCAGACACCACAACACAGCCTTCACGTACAACAGCATCATCCACACTCCAGCCAAGCTTGGGTATTGTTGTTTTCAGTACCCATCTCTGATTTCCTGATTTAACTGTTCAGTTTTCTTACTTCAGTTCTCACAGCCAAGTGAATTTTAATAGTGGAAGGTCAGAGCTTTTCCTTGCTACATGCAGTCTGATTGGTTAGACAGTTGTTCGGTGCAGAGTCTATATGTCACTATGGAAACCTTGCTCCAGGTCCCATTTAAGGTAGCTTCAGGGATTTTAGTATCAGTAGACCAGCTGCTTGGTATAACTATTTTATATACTCTTTATTACCATGTGTGTAAATATTTTAATTAACATTTTCTGCATCAAGTTTTCAACTGTTATATATATGGTTTTGCTTGTAGTATTTTGAAATTTAATTTAACTTCTAAGTCTAGCTTTTATCTTAGATATAATCCAATTATATGGTGCTGAAAAAGGCAGAGTCATTGCGGTAATTTTTATTTTATTACTTAGAAAATACATTAAAATGTCAATAAAGATAAATATAAACTGCTTCCTTCCTCCAGTTTTAGGCACTAAACAGAATCAGGGTGACTTTCAGTTAAAGTAGAATGGTGTTTTCTCCTGTGGAAAGTTTGCATGTCTCTCTTGCACTCTGTCCTTGACTGATTCCACCACTATTGCATCTAAGCAGCAATTATGAAGTAAAATAAAATGTATGATGGGAACAAAGTTACTGCAGCAGTCACAGCAGAGATTCAAATGGAACTATTCTGTCTTTCTTTCTTCCTAGGCCATGCCTCCTGCAGTGCCTCTGGAGATCCACATTATAACACTTTTGATCACAGAGTTCTTCATTTCATGGGAAATTGCACTTACACCCTCTCCAAAGTGTGCAACATCTCTCAGAGGATTCCATATTTTGATGTGTCCACAACAAATGAGCACAGAGGAGCCAATACCAAAGTCTCTTATGTGAAGTCAGTGCAAGTGGAAGTCTATGGCAATCAGATTTCTATGCTGAAAAACAAGAAAGTGAATGTAAGAAAATACTTGTTTAAAAGGCAATATTTTTCAACTGACGTACAGATCATGACTTTTTTTCTGATTGTAGAGTTCATAGAGATTTTTCTGTATTTTTTTCATTTGTTAAATATACTTCTTATAATTAGATTTCAAAAAAAAACTTGCCCATATGAAATATTATTTAATTGCTTTCTGTTCTCCTTGTGCACAAGATCATACTGTCTACTAAACTCTTCTACCTGTTGGTATTTGTAGGAGTTCTAGCAGCAGTACACTAACTTTTACAACTTGCTTTACAGGTGAATGGCAGGAGAATGAACCTGCCCATATTTATTGAAAGGAAGATCAGTATTCAAAGCAGTGGTGGATATGTTCTCTTGGAAACTGACTTTGGACTGTGGGTGAGATACGATGGAAATCACTATGCAGAAGTCTCTGTGCCCTCTGATTACAGTGGTCTGCTCTGTGGCTTGTGTGGTAAGTCACAGGCTTAGTCGCTTTTTAGTGAGTTGTATAGACTCATGATTACTCAAACTTTTTTCTTAGCATGTCATAATTACTCTACATCAACCTAGTCCTTATCAAAGGGACTAGAATTTACAGCAGAGAGGAAAAGTTGCAAAAGTTTTTCAGTGTCTGTCAACTGCTATACAATTCCTGGTAATATGTGTTTGTCTGGAATGCTGTGAGGTATAACTACAAATAACATTTTTAGACAGATTAGAAAAACAAACAAACAAACAAACAAAAAAACACCACCAACAAAAAATCTCATTTTAATTCTACAGTGTATATTAGTAAGAGTAAATATTTGCATGCATCTACTCAAGAATTCTACAAGTACATTTTTCTGTTACTTACATTCTGATGATAATGCCTGAACCTGAGCAGATATAGTTGGAACAACATTCTGAAATCTAGATGACTACATGAAACATACTTCAGGATGGATTTTCTGATTACTCTTTGATCTGGATCATCTGAAATTTCCTAGTTCAAGTCTCTCTGCTTCAGTATTTTGCACTTTCAATTCAGAAACCTATCTGAGGATGTAATGGTGCAAATGACACCATTTGAATTTCAGTCCACCAATATTAGATATTTATTTTTTTTAACTAAGCAATTCTTTCTGGTATACCATACCAAATACTGTATATTTGATCCAAGTCTCTGAAAGCCAGCCCTTATCAGTGGTCAAAGTCTAAAACACAAGTGAGCTCTAGTTATGTTGTCCAGTATAAATTGATGTTGCATACATGTATATACTCTCACTAGTTCATTGCAGTGTATTTTACAGTCTGAAACCTAGCTTTGTTATACCTAGGTGTTAAATTCATGTATCCCATAAATCTTTTTTTTTTTTTTTTTTAATCCTCTCAGGTAATTATAACGGTGATCCAACTGATGACAACATAAAGCCCAATGGTGACATTGCAAGTAGTTCCAATGAACTTGGAGAAAGCTGGCTTGTGCCTGAGAATAACACCATGTATGTACTAGAATCCAAGCATATTTGCTAATCAAACTATAAAATCAAATATCTACCCACTCGTTGGTGTTGTCATCCAGTACTATTTTGCATCTTCCAACTGCTGGCTAAAAGTAGGGAGCTCCTCCTTCACTTTGAACAGGGAATGAGAAGAGGGCTTGCATCCTTTAAGCCTTTTTTTTTTTTTTTTTTTTCCAAAGAACTGTGTGCTGAGTAGGGGTGGGGACAGGGGGTGGGGGATTTCAGTTCAGTTCTCTGGAAATCATCAGCTGATTGTATCCCATAGCTTTTTTTCCACCTAAGAATAAATCTTTAATTAGCCCAAATGGCATTGAAAAGGGAGTCCATTCAGAGATGGGCTTTGTATCAACCTGTCAAAGAAGCTGGATAGAAATCTTGTGACTGTAACAAAATACACCCTGTTGTACAGGGTTATCATGTGTCAATCTTCCACCATAGATCTAATAGTAAGAGATATAAATAAACACTTTATTTTGTTTGCCTTCCCCAGTTGCTCCAGTGGGATAGAAGAAGAATGCAATGCTGATCTGGAGAATGACGCAAAGAAGAACACTGCATGTGGCATGATCACAGACCCAACAGGTATTCTGTTTGTAGCTCACTTTGAGCCATGTGAAGGGGCACTTTTGCATATTTTAGCTTGTGATGTCTGCTCTCTTTTGTCCATTGTTCTGAATTCACACTGGAAATATATAAAACCTCCAGTTCAGGTGGCCAAAATAAAATTCATAGGTCAAGATATTTCAACTATTCAGATAGTACCAAGGAGTCCTTGAAAATTTTCTGGGAATGTTCACAGGGAGTCATAGCTGTTCTTTGATTCATAGCGACTTTCATTCTGCTTTCTAAATGAAATAGTTCAGAGGGCACTGTCATTTCGTGTAGTACGGACACTTTATCTGAAATTCTGTAGATGTTCCCTTCATTAGAGATCCCCTGCAATTGTCTAGAATTAGTGGCTTGCCTAGTCAGCAACTCCTATTTTTTGTAAACTATGTTGTGTCAATCCTGCAGAAACAAGAGACAAGAAACAAGCCTGATCCAGAGGGCCAAGTTTCACTGTGTGTACTCAGTTTCAAGGGTTGGTTTAACTTACTAAACAAAGTCAGGCTGAAGCACTCAATATTTTTGCCAAGACAGAACATAGATGGTGATGGTGATGAATTCCTCACTTCTTTTTTTTTTTTTTTTTTTTTTCTTTTCTGTCCTTCTATATCTTTCTTAATTTATACAGGGCTCTTCAAAGATTGCCACACCAAAGTGCCTCCAGAAAATTTCTTTGAAAGCTGTGTTTATGACATGTGTTTCACTGGAGGACAGGAAACATCCTTATGCTATGGACTGCAGGCCTATGCTGAGTCATGTAACAATGCTGGAATATGTATAGAGTGGAGAAATACTACTCTTTGCCGTGAGTGTTGTGATTTACAAATATTTATTCTGGATTTAACTTAAACATATGCACATTCTCCTCTACCTTTCATGTATGTTATTTTAATTTATGTAATGCTTTGAGCATAGTCTATCTTTTGTCATGTCTTGGGCCTGCTTCAGCTTATGCACTATTCCAGTACTAATATAATTCACTAATTTACATGAATTTTTGGATACACTTGGGTCTAATCCTTCGAGCTTTAATAATTTCCTCTCTGTTACTTGGAAAGGTTTGATTTTATATATATATATATATATATATATATATATATACAGGTAGGTGTGTCTTATGTGAGCTTCTGCACTGGGAGAATAACTGCTGCTTTGTCCTACTGAAAGCCACCATCCTCAATGCAAATAGAGCTGGTATTTCCAAGGCTCCATAAACAAGTGCTCATTGACATCTTCGAAGATCCTTTCAAGCGATCTTATTTTTTCCTTTTGTCTTTAGCAATGTCCTGTCCTGGAGGCAGTATCTACCAGAGCTGTGGTACTAGGTGTCCCTCTACTTGTGTGAGCAACTCAACCGCCACTTCTTGTAGTTTGTTACCAGTGGAAGGTTGCTTCTGTAAGGAAGGCTATATTCTGAGTGGAGACACATGCGTTCCAGAAAGCAGCTGTGGTTGTGTTGATGAAGAAAACCAGTACCACCAGGCAAGTTACTACAGACATTTTTTAAAGAAAGAAGTGAAAGAACAGGGTATCTCAATTGTTATCACTGTGAGGAAAAAAGAAATATATATTAATAACACTAGCACAATTATTATTTACACTGTTAATAATAGCAAAATAGATTCACTTTGAGAGTCTTCTTGATGAGTGAGCTGTGTGATTATATATATCACTTACATTCAAATGCTAGTAATTTGATTGTCTTTTATGATATTACCTGCATATTTAACTTATAGTATATACTTCTACTTTTTTTTTTTTTTCCCTCAGCTGGGTGAAAGCTGGTTCACCAGTTATTCCTGCAATGAACGCTGCACCTGCAATGCTAAAAACAAAATTGTATGCTCACCCTGGGAGTGTGGAGTACGAGAGGAATGCAGTGTCAAGGATGGTGTGCTGGGCTGTCATTCCAATGGTAAGTCCTCCCAGAAAATTCTGTGAGTCATTGTCAATTCCATAATTAGATCTGTCTACTCCCTCTAGTTTTCTCATATATATTTTTTCATGTGTGATGGCAAAGATAGTTTCAAGTAACTGCTGCCAGTGGTAAGAGACAAAAAGACATGATGATCTGTCTTGCAATCACAGATCCTCTTCAGCTGCAATTGATGTCAGCAAAAATTGATGCTGCTCAAAAGCTTGTAAGGTCACTTGGGTTCTTTTTGTCTTGATAATACAAATTAAAATCCCAAATCACCAGTTCTGTGAGTTCTAAATTTCAGACTAATTGAAAAGAACTGCTAATTCTGAGAGCCTGTGTGTTGGCAAATTCTTTAAATATCTAGATATATAGATGCATATTTATTTACATTTATGTTTATACCTATATTTACACAAATAATTATGTATTTTTTTATTGCTACATTGGAAAGCTCTGGATTACTCTTAACCACCATGCGTCGTATGTACAACAGCATATGGAAACAGATAAAGAGGTTTATTTGCTGCAATGTTGCCAGTTTATACATAATTTGCGAATTAAATTTAGGAGACACTTTCTGGAAAAATTTAATTTCCAAATAATTGCCATTGTCATGAACCTGAAATACCTCTATGAAAGTTGCTCCACATAATAATAATCAGGATTGGGTTGCTGTGCTAATGCAAATGTCTTTCATCAGTTGTGTCCATGGTGAAATCCAGTCCAAAGTTCTTAGATATTTTTTTCACTTTCAGGCCAAGCAACATGTCAGGTAGCAGGAGATCCCCATTATTTCACTTTTGATCGATTGATGTACACCTTTGTGGGTACCTGCACCTACACCTTGGTTGAGGTCATCAGTGAGAGTGTTGAAAATATAACCATCCTTGGCAAGAATGAAGACCGAGGGCTACGAGGGGCCACATACCTGAAGGAAGTCTACATAGATCTGTATGGTGTACGAATCACCCTTCAGAAAAGCAAAGGAATCCTGGTAGGTGGTAGTACTCTTTATACTGCAAGAAGTATCCTAAAATTAGCTCACTACAGTAGCTGTAGGAAAAAGGACCTCCATGTTTCATAAGGAACACGTATGCATATCCTTAATCCTTGAAGGGACCTCCATTATCTTAATATTGGGAAATACAATTTCTGATTGGTTCCCAAGGCTTCTGTTCTGGGTTTACTGTTCTATTGGCTATGTCTTGGGGATGGAGCCAGAGCCTCCAGATCTGAGAACTGTCATCTGAACTAAAGAACAGTCCTCCCCATTTCAATACCTGTCATCAACCCAATCACCTATAGCTAGCTGACATGAGCAGAGGAAAATGCAGCTGTGCCATATTGGTCTGGAATAGCACTGGGGATACATGGCAGTACTAAAAGCAGGGAGTCCTACCTATGGGAGGGTAAGAGCTTGCTCAATACCACAGATCTTTTCAGCTCCCTGTTAAAGGCACAAGCTATGAGTCATGCCCAGCTCACCTCAGCTAAAAAGCTGATTTCTACAACCCATAGTTGGCATATGCAATACTGGAAATGTAAAGGATCTAAAACTGTCACAGAGTCATCTTCAGCACTCCAAGGAATATAGATTGTGAACAGAAAAACTTTCATGGAAGAATGTCCACACTGACAAATGATTTATGTCTCCAGTTAAACAATGAGAGAGTCTACACTCCAGTGGAGAACAGGCTGCGGGGCGTGTCCATTGGAAATGTTGGCAAATACATAGTAGTGGAAACTGACTTCGGTGTGGTAGTGAAATATGATGGCGATCACTATCTGGAAATCACCCTCCCACAATCTTACTTCTCAAAGGTAAGATTTACTGTGTAAACATATTGGTGCTCTTTCAGAACTGCTGCTTTGGACATTTAATTTTCATTTGCTTTCTTCCTTCCTGTATTAACACACTTGTTTTTGCCCACTATTTTTTTTTCTCTTCGCAACAATTTCCATGTATTCTAAAGGAGTACTTACAGAAGATGACAAAGCTAGGGGAATACATCCAGTTTAAAGAATTAAACGGCTTGAAGTCTTAGGGTATCACAGATCTATTGCAGTGACTTTTTATTTTTCTATTGGTTCAGCCAGACATCAATGAGTATGTTTGAAATATCTAATGCAAGGTTGGTTGTTGTTAGTGTTTTAACCGTATCATTCCATAGGCAATGAGTAAGAAGTTATTGGGGAAGCTGGGGTAGAACAGATAGTGTTTAGAATATGGTTCTTGTTCATTTGCAGGTACATGGTATGTGTGGTAACTTCAATGACAACCTTGAAGATGATCTGTCCTTGCCTAATGGTACAATTGTCAGTATCACACAGTTTGGAAATAGCTGGAAAGTGGAAAAAGACAGTGATGCAGGGTAAGCATAACTTCATACCTTCCATCTTCCTTTGAAAAACAGTCTTTCTTTAATTATTTTGTCCATTTTGCTACTTTCTAACATGTGAACTATAATATATGAGATTTTCCTCTTCAGTTTGAAGCTCAAAGAAAAAATCTTAACTACAGGCAACCACTGAACAGGCCAGATGGAAACCACAGCCATTCTAATGATCTACATACACACTTGGGGAATTAGGCTTTGGGGTAGTCCACAGTGTGAACATAGACTATGTTTAACTTACACTGAAAACACTTAGAGCAGGAGGATGGTGTTAGGTAACAGTGAGGGTCAGCTGAGGGACATGCCCAAGAGTGACAGACGGGGTTAGCCAAGGGTCCAGATCACCACACAAGTTTGCAGTGACACAATAGGTCTGCAGTCAAGCTGCGAAGTCAGTCCTCTAGTCAGGGTCAGGTTTAAGGGGAGTAACCAAGGTCAGAAAGAGCGTGGTGATTGCCAGGCAGTTACTGCTGCTACTCTTTCAGTCATTGACAGAAGGCAGCAGTCTCCAGCACTATTTATTTAGAACCTTTCTGTAGCAACAAATTTTTCAGTTTCTGTCTCAGTCTCACATATGTCCCATATGTTCTTGAAACTCAAATGAAGCTATTTCTGTGCTTTCATGCAGTTGTTTACCGGACTCAAGAGAAGATGATGTTCCTCCTTGCACTGCTGAGAATAAACCAGTCATTGAAAGCCAGTGCAATGTCCTAAACTCAGACAAGTTCAAAGAATGTCATAGTCTGGTCAAACCTGAAGACTTCATAAAGATCTGCATCCATGACATGTGCCAGTATAACGGCATGAAGTCCACTCTCTGCGACATAGTTCAATTTTATGTGGACACCTGTAGGAATCAAGGCATCACCATTATATGGAGGAACAACACATTTTGTCGTAAGTGCACAAGCAAGTGAAAAATCAGAAACTTGGATCACTGAGACCATAAAAATGAATTAGCAGTATTAGGTGGACAAGTTACATAAAAGATGATTAAACCAAAATTCTCATAAAATTCTATTATTATGATTTTATGACTTGTTTGCGGTGCTGAATTGTGTTCAGGTTGAACTAAACCCAATGATTACTCAGGACTAGACAAGTAATGGATAGTAGTGTGAAGTTAGAATGGTTTTAGTAGCCAAATGAATGTCACAAGATACTACCTCACTCCATTCATTCTACAAAGCTACCAACTAATTATGAAAAGAAAAAAAAAAAGATTACAGGATGGTAGGTTTAGAGGTTTTGACGTTCCCTCCTCCCCCACCCCCACTCCCAATTTAGTTTTACATTGTGGAATTAATTGTCACACAGTGTTGTAGAGGACAAACCAGTTAACTGATTAAAAAACAAGCCAGATTAATTTGAATTCCTCAGAAATTCCTACCTGCCTCCTTGCCACAAGCTGGGGAAAATACTGGACAGAGGAATACTCTCTGCTACCCTGTTTCTTGATTTGTCCTCTTATGCATCTCTAGCCATTGGCAGAATATAGGAAAGTAGGATATAGACCTAGATTAATTTTCAGTTTGACAACACAAGTTTGTTGTTCTTGCACATGTTTATGTCTGTGGTTAAGCTAGATATACTCCTGCTTTGCATCACTGGAGGGACAAACCTAAGAAATTTACCCTAATGATTCATATTTCTTAGAGAGGCATTTGCGACTGAATGTGAACGACCTGGCCCCAGGTGCTACTAGTTCAGACACGCCTGTAATAAAACTCAATCAGCAGCTCCATTGAGGGTTCTGTTTTTTGTTTTTGTTTTGTTTCTTTTTGTTTCATTTTTTAATGAAATATCAAAACTAAAAAATATCAACTGATTGATGATGAAAATCAGCTATAAAAAGGCAATCCTACACTACCATTTTACAGGCCAAGCTGTGGCTTTCAGGCAGGCACAATTTTGCAGTTTCTGAATGTATTTAATAACATGGGTTCTTTTCCTTTCACCCACACAGCATTGCCCTGTCCAACCCACAGCCATTACACGAACTGTGCCTCCTCCTGCCCATCAACATGCAATGACATTTTTGCCTCTTCCCTTTGTGAGAAGACAGAAGAGTGCACAGAGGGCTGTGAATGTGATAATAATTATGTGCTCAGTAATGGCAACTGTGTACCTCTCAGCAATTGTGGCTGCAGGGATGATGACAACAATTACTACAGTGTAAGTAGTTTGTGGAGCAAATCTCTGACTGCAAAGCTTGTAGGAAATTGGTCCCCTTTCCAACTGACTGATAGAGAGAAAAAATCTTCAGTCTACCACTTAAAACACCTTTCATCTGTTTAGTAAGCTGCAGGCTCAAGTATTAGGAAATGCAGGAGCACTTTGCACCTGACGCCAAAATTAAGGCATATTGGAAACTAATCAGTTTATCAGAGTTAATCAGGTAACCTATCCTATTCCTGTTTTATGTTCCAATTCTCACATGGAAAACAAATGGACCGAGGTTCCCCCCCCCCCCCCCAAGATTTTAGTGAGACTATACCTGGATTAAAAAGTTGTGGAATGGCCAGCAGGACAAGTTGCACCTAACCAGCCCCCACACCTTTTGATATTGACCTTCTACTGCATTGCAATCCTAAGCACCTTGGTAACATATGAACATAACTTGTGTCCAGGCTGGGGAGACTTGGATAACTGCACACTGTGCCAAAAGATGTAAGTGTCAGCAGAATGGTGTCATCCAATGTACAAGCTATAGCTGTGATTCTGAAGAAACCTGCGTGATCAAAAGTGGAAAATACAAGTGCAATCCAACAGGTATGTGCAGGCAAGTTTTCACTTGGTATTCCATGAAGGCTGGAGAAGGAGGAGGGATGTAGGTGTCTGCTCCTTCCCTGGCACTTCCAGCCTTTTCCACTGGCAGGTGTGCCAGTGCTATTGATGACACATTATTGACCACAAAAAGGCCTCAGTTCTCAGAACAGAAAATTCCAGTACAAGACAGAGAATTTTAGAGAGGAGTGGAACAAGGGTTTGAAAGTTTATATACACTAATAAAATCGGCAGTTTGGTCTGACTGGTTTAAAAATAAAACTCAGGTATGCCTGTGAATCCTTTGGCAATAATCCCCCTTTTTTTTTTCATTGCATGTTGACTTGAAAACACACCAAAAAATAAAGGCAAAACAGGACAGAACAGATCTCAACATATGCTTAATAGGCCAGTCAAAGTATTTTGGTGCTTTTCAGACAGTACTTGCTTTGGCTAAGCTGCTATTTTCGGTTGTCTACCCTGCTGTGTTATAGCTAATTCCATATTCCCAAGGTAAATTGGACTGTTTAGTAGGTAGCTTGTTGGCTGGTGACTCTGTACTACAATTTTGAAGAATAGGATGGCATAGGTCCTACTGTACTGATGATCAGTACAAAAGCATAGTACAAACCGATTTCCCCCATTCCGTTTTTGCAAAATACCACAGCAGAGGCACTTCAGCAGTGTTAAAGGCAGCCTTGTCCTTTGGGTAATGGTTGGCACTCAATGGTCAATGAGAATACTTAGGCAATATTGCATCTGATTGTGAGGTCAGGTGAACCCAATCATCAATTTAGTAACCTCAAAAGAAATCAGTGTGATAGCATTTCAAAATTAGACACTTCTTGTCATGTTCCAATAATTTTGTAGCAACACATTGCTGAGGATTGTGAAACTGACATCTCTAAGAGCCAACTGCAAGCCATGCTGTGTGGCGAAGTCATTCCTCTGCAGAGGACCAATGTGCACAGTTTAGTGCCTATAAAGCCTATAAACCCTAATGCTGTGCTTCAGTTCAGTTGGCTCTCACTGGTTCTCAGCAGAGGAATGAGTTTCTCTGGTTGGCTCTCTGAGTGCCCATTCACTAGGGTGATGCCTGAGCACCTATCTTTATTTTAAGAGAACTGCATGCTAGCAGCAATTGTTTTTATCTAACCTATATTAAACTGATCCATGCATGGGACCTTGCGAAGGTGCATGCAGATTGGAGGATAATGAAACTCTTCTCCTTTAGGTTTTGGGACATGCCGCATCATGGGTGATCCACACTATGTCACCTTTGATGGTTTGGTGCACCACTTTCAAGGGAAATACACATATATTGTGGCTCAGACCATCCCTGATCTACATTATACTCTGACACCGTTCAGCATCGAAGGCATGAACTATCCTCTTCGTCGAAATTCACGCATTACTTACCTGAAAGAGATTCTCATCAATGTTTACAATCACAAAGTGCGATTCAGGGAGGGCAAGCAGATACTGGTAAGTTTCTTACTGACTGCAGAGCACGAAGGTTATCTCTTGGAATAAAACACATTAGAGTAATAATTGTCTGTTTTGAAGAACTTAAGTAAAAAAAAAAAAAAAGTTAAAAAAAAAAAAAAGATATTTAGGAATTAAATACCAAATATCCAATATGTGCAATAAAGCCACAAACAATTTTACCAGTTGTAGGGAAAAGTGTGAAATATGCTAGAAAAACTGTATTTCAATCCTCTTCATTGGTATGTAAGAGTGTACATTATCTCATATACACGCTTTTTAGCTCAGTAATGGAAACTTCTTAGGATTATATGAGAACTGTGTCCAGAGCACTTTCCTTAATATATGATTTCGTTACTTTAAAAAAGTAAATACTGAGTTTTTTTGCCTGCTTAAATTATTGAATATATCTAACATAAAACTAGAAAAGAGGAATGTTCATTTGTAACGTTGTTCTGTATTGAAGCCACATCTGAATTTTGCCTGTATATTATGAGTTATAACTTATTCTTTTCCTTTTAGTTGGATGGTGTGAGGGTGAGACCCCCTCTTCGTCCTCATGAAGGTATTCGTATATATCAGAGGACAAAAAGAATTTATCTGGAGACAGATTTTGGCTTATATGTGAGCTTTGATGGCAATCAAAATGCAGGTAAGTGCTGCTAAGACAATCTGCAGGGGTATTTATGCCCCAAGTCAAAAAATGTTCTCATTCTAGAGGAGGTCTAAACCCAAGGGAAAATTAGAAAACTCCACCCTTTAAGCCCATGCCTGTTTGTGATATGAACTTACAGAAAAACAAAACAAAAAATATTTCTCAAGAAAGCGTAAAATTGGCATTTATCTGGATGCACCTGAACTTAGGAGAAATTAGATGTAGAATCAGAGTGTTCTACTATTTTTCATGTAAAGTGAGGCCTGAGTGATGTAAACAGAAGCAAACTACTTTAAGCTACTGATCAGGATGATGGTGCAAAGTCTTGATCTGACCCTTTGCCAGCTTAACCCAGTCACAGGAGTGAGGTCCTCAAGCTAAACAACTATGACTGCATACTTTTACCTGCTTCCTCTCAAGTCTATTCCAGATAATAGCATTCTGTAGTGTTTCTAAGCAGGAATTTTATATCATGTACATGATGTACATACAACTCATTAATGTGCATGTATGTTGAACATGCATTATCTCCTCTGTTCAAAGCAGAACTACCCCTGATTTACAACATAATATAGTGATGTTATTTCTGATCATTTCAAATCCTAAAATGCCTAATGCAGAAAGAATGTGTCTCTTTTATAGGAATTCTGTTTCTCAACAAGCAAGTGGATAGTAAGTGAAGGGTAAAGATGGGTTGTGCATTCAGTTTGTTGCAAGGCTGTATGCACTAAGAGCACTCAGGTGGAGATGTCATGCCATAACATTGGAGATTGCCTACTGGCAGGAATAAATTACTTTTTTCATGATCCATATTGCAGAGCACAGAAAACAATCCTGTGAATCCACATATGAACATTAGTTTAGGACAGTGTTTATATTGATGTATGAGGCCCACATCACAGTAGCAACTATAATCTGAATTGTGGAAGTACTTTGCACTTCTTTCCACCTCTTCGATACCCTCAGAAGGAAATATTTCTGTGTAATGGCTTTTTTTTTTTTTTTCTTCTGAAATTTCCTAGATTTAAGGCTGGCCAATACCTACAAGGACAAAGTAGAAGGTTTGTGTGGTGACTTTGACGGGAGATCCAGAAACGACTTCGCAAGCCCAAATGGTGTTTTGCAGAAGAATGTGAATATATTTGGTGAGAGCTGGAAAGTTCCTCTGAACAGAAAAACCTCTCGTCTCAGGTACTTAATTTTCTACTCAATACCCATGGCAAGCACAGCCACTGGAAGTCAGTGAACTAAACCATACTTAAAATCCAGGACTAACTGTGCTGTCTGAATATCTGTTATTTCTTCTTCCCTTGGTCTGTGTTAAGGGACTTCTCCCATTCATCGCTACAGTGAACTATAAGTGCCCTTCTATCTAGCAAAAAAAAAAGCCTGAACTATCACTTCATTACTCCAGTTCAGTGTCCTTATTTGGCATCACAGCCATTACAACTGCTAGGGGACAGAGATGAATAAGGTCTCTACCAAGCTCATGGGTCCTGGCAAAGATAAAGTTCATGGTTTGCTGTATGGATCTGAGGGAGGGTAGATCCTGGTACAGTGTCATCCCTCCCTCTGGAACATGAAGGTATCTTTGAAATTCATCAAAATGAATTCACAGTTCCTCTCAGAAGAGGTTCTTTAAGAGTCTAATTTCCTTACTTTCATGACTACACTGTGTTTTCTTCCAGTACAAAAAAGTTGGGACATTCTTTTGAGTAAAAATGAATGTGATATTTATGGTCAGGCCAATTCTGTGCTAATAAGATTATACAGAACCTTGAAACAGGGAACTAAGTTTCCTTCTCTCCTTCTACTTTCTCAGTTTGCTTTTAAAGGCTTTTGGAGGTGTTTTAGACACTAACAGAACTTTTTTGTCTGTAAGTAAATAGAATTGTATTAGTTGTCAGCATATAATTTGGCTGCAAAAACTTATCTAGCAAAATAGTAGAAAGCAGTATGTAGACTAATGTTGAGCATAAAGAGACTCTGGAAGCTCTGCCTAGAGAATAATTCTGGCACTTCAGGCATGCAGCCAGTTCTTCAGTGGAAGTGAGAATATCTCCAAGGAATGGTGGCTTGCTCCAGTTATACCATTCTGACTAACATTCAAGTTTTATTGAATGGATTGCATAAAGGAGGCATGGATGAAACCTGTGTCATAGAGAATGTACAAGGAGATAATTACAGCTATCATTTTTGAATTAAAAATCCACAAATCTTTGAAATGGTAGGAAGTTTTCTAGTACATTTTTTGCCTTATCTATTTCCTTATATCAAATAGATTTGCTTTATCTATTTCCTTCGCATTGCCATAAGCCATGAGAGAGAAATAAACTAACACTTCTACTACAAGGCAGAAACACTCTTGTAGCGTTACTGGTACCATGAATGCTGGATGTACAGAGAACTGATGGTTTCATAATGAATTCATTTCCAGACGAGATGTCATTCCAACAGTTGAGTCTGAGGTGGTAGAAGATACAGGACTCTTCCAAGGCTGCAGTGAAAATCAGCTGACACAAGAAAACAGCACTTCTGAATGTCAAATTCTGACTCAGTCAAATGGTCCTTTTGCGAAGTGTCATTCTGAAGTCTCACCAGATTTCTATTACATGTAAGTGTCTGCTGCAAACAATCTAGTCTGTTTTTTCCCCATTTCCAAAACAGCTTTGCAGCTTGTTTCTGATAAGTACATCTTCAGTTTTCAGGAATTGAGGATGTTAGGTGTCTTTGGAGAACTGGGGCCCAATGCTTCCATTATTTATATATTTAGTACCCCTTATTTGATTTTAAAGAATTGTGACGATCCATCTTTCCATCTATTAAGAGTTTCACTTTTGTGCTAGCTCTACAAAGTAGCTTTCCTATTTTCCTAGAGAGATAAAGCAGAAGTGCTAAACATTATATCTGTAAACTGGAATTCCCAATGTTCTTGAAGTTCTCCTCCACATTCAGTGAGAATTCAGTAATTGGCTCTATTAGATTCCTTTTAGCAATTTTAGCTTCTTAAAATGTATTCTTCAAGCTATAGCCACAAAGGCTGAAGCTGTTAGCAATACTTCTTGAGTCTGTCATGGAGCAGTGCTAAAAATAGGTTAGTGGAGAATAACTAACATGGTATCTGCAATACAATTCCTTCTGTTCATCTGGCCTCCTATGTACACAGTTCCTATACACCTCCTTTTGAACTGTATGAAACCTGTTGGTTCATCCACACTTCATTCATCCAACATTCATCCAACATTGGTCATAAAATTGCAAAGTCGATACCAGTTTTCTTTAGTCATATAGTTGTAACTAATGTTTAAAGATAGGTAGTGCCCACTTGAAGTCTCTCTTAGCTGTCAGAATAATGTGAAGGTATCTTAAGCCAAATAAACTAGATGACTGGCTTCAGGTTATATATCCTGATTCTTAATGCAAGCCTATCTTTCTCTCACTTAAGAGATACTCTGAGATACCACATATTTGCAGATCCTATTCACCTCAGTTCTCAATGCCTTTTAAAATCAGGCCATTGATATTTGGATGATGATCAAAGTGGAGAATGTAGAACTAGCAAACAACACTGGGTAAACCAGAATTCTGCATCACTATTCAATGTATATGAACATGTCGAGGGCACCCAAATATTGAAAGAAGTCCGCAGTCCAGACACAGCAGCACTAAAAAGTGCTCCATAAGCAAGATGTAGATACGCTAGTCAGAAACACAAGCAGATAGCAAAAAATAACTTATTGTTACAAGAAGTCAGTTACCTGCTTATTGCTTCTGTGTGTATGAGTACATCACATAATAGCAGCAGCAGCACAACAAATGACCTGATCAAATGGAAGTAACACGGAGTCAGGCAAAAAAACATCTGAAGATAAGCAATAACAAAGGTATTGGGCATGAACGCTTTCTCATGTTGCAAACAGGAGCTGCATCTTTGATATGTGTGTGGACAGAGACGACACTACAACATTATGTCGCAGTCTGGAGGAGTACGTGCTGGCTTGTCAGGAGAAAGGAGTCAATATGGAAGGCTGGAGGCAAGAGACAGCTTGTGGTAAGCACAGGAAAAAAACACAATGTGGTTTCCCCCTAAAAGTCTCAAAAGCTGAGGTTTTAGGCTTTTCCTAGAAGCACCATATATCAAAGCTTCTTAGCTTTGATAACATGTTGATTCACATTTCAATCATTGCTCTTGGTTTAGTGCACACACATATTCTTTTGTCCCCTCCTCTGAGTCTTATGCTGATGTTTTGCATTTAGACCCCAGTTTAGAAAGTTACTTAGGAAAGCAGAGCAGTCAGCTCCTCATCATGAGAAGTTTTATGAGAGAAAAAATGTCCCCGTTCCTAACTTGTCTTTAAGATTTAAAAAAGCTAAATTAAATCTTACAATAATCTCAAATCCTTTTTTTTTTTCTTCAAGTTGGGATAGTCATCAAACCATACCCACCCTGCATCACCCATGATTAGGTGACTTAGTATTCTTGATGAAACACACTTCTCAGAGCCGTGAAAGTGCTGGTACTTTCGAGGATAGCTACCCTGAATTAAATCATTGAAAACTCAGACTGAGAGCACAGCATACCAATAGTTTTCACAATGCACTTCCTGATTTTGGAGTGATTCACTTATGTCGGTAGCATCAGATATATATGAACTTCTCTGTGTATGTGTTCATCATTTTGCCTCCTACAAAGTGGATCTGAAAAGACAACATATAAATAGCACACAGCAACCTGTTATAACTGGACTCTCCTTATTCTTACAGAGATGCCGTGTCCGGCCAACAGCAAGTACAGCTCATGCATGTCTGCATGTCCGGCATCCTGCAGCGACTTGACCAGCCCCTCTGAGTGTGAATGGCCTTGTGTTGAAGGCTGTGAATGTCTCCCTGGCTACGTTCTTAGTGGTTTTGAATGTGTGCCTTATAGTCAGTGTGGCTGCTCATACCTCAACAAATATTATGAGGTACAGTGTCTCAGCGGGCCAGACAGCTCTGGCAGTGCTAAACAATATTTTCTTCTGCTAATTATTTTGACAATCTCATTGTTCTCCTCAGCACGTAACTTTACATTAGAAACAGAGAGCGATTTGTCTAATAATATTCTGGTCTCTGGAGGAAGGGAAGAGAGAATAGACCCCTCAGTCTGCCTCTGAAACTTTGCTTGCCAGAATACTCAAGGCAGGCACTTGAGGCAAGCATATGATTACTCTCTGACCTCCATGTTAATTCTTCACCTTTATCACACTAAACAGTAGCCTCATAGGCTCTAAAATTTACAACACACGAGTTACAGAAAAACTCATTCACGGTGGTCCCTTTCCTCTCAGTGAAGAGTGGTACAGGCAGGGCTGAGAGTCAGTAGAGCTGGCTGCAGCATGAAGAGAGCACCAGGCAAGGCTGGATTTTGAGAAATCCAAAGATTCCTCCCATTCTAGCTGCAGAATAAAACAGGTTTGAAATCTTTTGTTTGAACACTGGAGACTTGATATAGACAAGGCCTAAGGCAAGTAAAGATGCTGTTATGGGAGGAGGGAGACAGGATGGACAGGTGGGGCTTGCCAGAAAAATGGCACATAGCACTTTTCCATATTGTCTTGGAGGCACAATGGGATGCATCTGCCATTTTATTTCCAGCAACCATTAAACATTGTTGATTGCCCACATACTCAGTCTGGGACTAGGATTTCACACTCCAAACTGTTCTTTTGCTTTCTTTCTTGAGCCTTCTTTAAGTTTCAAAGAGCTGGATTAATAAGCTGTTTGCTTGTTTTCTTAGTACAAGTTTCTAAAAATAAAATAAATAAATATATATATATATATATATATGTGCCATGTTGCCATTCATCAGGAAGACATTAGAGAGAGTAGCATGGGTCCCCAGTGCTCCATACATATTTTCCTGGGTGATTTTGTTTGGTATTTTTCAATGTTTAACTGCTATCTTCCAGATTGGAGAAATATTCATCACTGATGACTGCTCTCAGAGATGTCAGTGCACGGAAAGCTCCACTGTCTCCTGCACTACAATAGGGTGTGGTTCTGATGAAATCTGCAACGTTTCAAACTACACTCGTGGATGCTACAAGAGTGAGTCAACCACTAATCCTATCACGTTGCCTATCACGCTAAGTCTTGAGTTACTGCTTATAGGGCATTACTGGGTCTGGGATGGATGGAATAATTTGAACAGAAGAAAATCCCTTAGTAAGCATACACAGGGGATCTTTGATGGTCTATTGTAGAAAGTGTTTCCCATACTGTTGTTGTCAAGTACAGAACCATAGGTCTTAAAATACAGGGCATGTCCAGCATTAGCAGTCAGCGTAATCTAACCAAGAACAGCTTTCTCAGGGTTGGATTCTCCAAGATTCTCAAGTGTTTCTCCTTTCTTTTTGCTAGGTGGACCATGCATGCCAACTCCTTGTCAGAATGATGGAGTTTGCTCTGAAATAACCAATGGTACTTCTCGCAGCTTCTACTGTGAATGTTCTGAGCTGTACACAGGACAAACCTGTGAGGTTGAAAGAAGAGGTAATAAAATTATTTTGGATTTCACTCTCTGCATTATACACACCACTATCAAAAACATGTGCCGTTATGGAGAAGACTGAGCTGACTTTTAATGTCTGTGCTGCAAATGAGGCAGGTGTCAGATCAGACTGGGACCTCATCACATCTTTTTATGGACATCTCATAATTTAGTCATAGGCAGGACAGAGGTTGACCCTAGAAATAATTCCACTGCATGTCCTATCTAAGCCCTTGACACTATTCCTTGGAGTACATATTAGGCCTTGTACCACAAACTAGGTGGTCACGTCTGTACTGGTGAATCCAAGCAGAAAGAAGAGCATCTCTCAGCAAAGAGGTGCAAGAAGGGATGATCATACAGGGCCTGTGTCTGACACCACTCCTGACAGCCACATTAGTCAGAGAACACAGTGTAAACCAAGCAGATAGGCATGTCTGCCTGGTGCTCAGATTCCATAGTGAGCAGCTTTACACTTGGGATTGAGAAAAATCTTCTGTTTACAGCACTCTTAGCTTATGCTAACAGGGCTCATTTCTTCTTCAGATCAAACAAGCCCCTCAGGGACTCCTGAGAATCATACAGTTGCCATTGCTGTTGGAGTTTCAGCAGGTGTGATTGTTGTCCTCATTCTCATCTCCTCTGCAGTGTACCTGCGCAGGTAAGCCTTTTCTCGTATTTGCTACATTCAGCACAGTCAAGATGCAAACTTCTTTTAGCACCTGTAAACTCTCAGAATTCCCCCTAGTCCCATACCTTCAGGACCAGAAAGGAAGTACAGCATTCAGGATCTCATATGAGGAATGTGAAGGAAAACAGTCTTTTCTACAGGGATGAACATATGCTATTCTTATTGCATAAGGCATATGTACCATTATCACAAAACTTGGAATTCTCCAAAATCTGACATTATACGTGCTCACACCACTATTTGACCTCCCACTACAGATAAGAATAGAAATTAAAGATGGTTGTTGCTATTTGTTTTTGTGCAGAAGGAAGAGAAAGATGAGTATAGGTGCCAAAAGAAGAGATTCATCTTTCAACCGGTCCAGGGATACAACAGATAACAACGTATATGAACAAGATTATGGCTGCATAGTGAACACTGCATTTGATCAAGATGAATCTGCACATGATACAAACCTATAGTTAACATCTTTTTAATTTCTTTGTATTACTTTTCTGTTCTTGTATTTTAATAATGTATCTAATACGTTGAGAAAAAAACACTAATAAATATATTATTGCATTTGCTGAAGATCTTTGAAATTTTGTCTACACTATCTCTCAGATTTCATGTGTTAGACCCAAACTGAAATAAGTCCTAGCGCAATTACCGCTGTGTTATCCTCAGAAGCCATTCGAACAACACTAAGTCCAGTCAGAATTCAGCAGCACAAGCAAGCTGCACACTATTGCATACGTGCCTCTTATAGATGCACAAACTATGGACTGATGAGGTCAGAATTAATTATAACATCCCAGGCAGGTGGTCTTGAAATTATTTTACCCAAAATCTTCAATGGGAGGGGATGGGTTGATTGAGCAGAACACGGTTCTTGCTCCTCTTCTGACAAGGCATGGTTGACTGAGGAGAGAAACAGTTAAGACACTGAGCTTATCTGGTGACAGATGACCCCCCTCCACTCTCCCCCTGGGAGTGCCACTCTGAAAGAAGCAGTTGTTTGAATGACAGCTGTCTCCTTGTCAGGACAGAGTGGATGAGAGCAACGATTGTCATCAGCCCCTGTCTGCGGGTGCTAATGCTAAGCAAGAGCATAACTTAACAAGAACTCCCTGAATAAAGAGATCCTGTCATAAGTTCTCCTTGGGGTCTTTGCAAATTCTGAAGCTGCCATGCTGAATGTGGTTAGAGATTTGCATCAGCTCAGTCCTGGATCATGCTAAGGAATCTCCAGTAGCAGAATATCCAAGTCATTTGCAGCAAGGCCCAACAACACCGTACTGGTATTGGATAGAGGTAATTTTCATTAAAGAAGCTCCTACGGTGCTATGTTTTAGAGTTGGGGGAGGAAAGCGTTGATAACACACTAAGGTTTTAGCTATTCCTCTGCAGTGCTTACACAGAGCCAAGGTCTTCTCTATTTCTCACATTGCCCCACCAGCAAGTACCAGAAGCTGGGAAGCCATACAAACAGGACAGCTGACCCCAATAACCACAGGGATATCCCATACTGTCTGATGGGATTCTCAGCAATAAAAGCTGGGGTAAAGGGGGAGGAAGCAGGAGGGACAGTGTGGGCTTCCTGTTGTTTCTGACACAATGCTGGTTATTTTTAATTTGCCCCTTCTTTCCCTGCCTATTGTATCCAGAATCTCATGCGTGCTGTCAGCCAGAAGAGTATTTGTAATGCCCATGGACAGTCAGGTGGATAAAAGGCCATTCAAGAACATGCCAGCAGTCCATACGTGCACAACCCAGCTAATGAGGAACAGATGTGAATGGAAAGGGGCTTTCAGTGTCATTACATAACGAAAACGAGTCAGTGCGAGGGACCTACCTGTGCACAAATGAGCTATCAACCTTATGCTGCAGTTTCACCACATTCATAAAGGCATCTTTCCTGCCTGTTCAGCAGCAGCTTCCTATTGCTCTCCCATACTTGCTAACAGTGCAATTCTGTGAATGTTGAGCAGTGCTGACCACGCTCACCTCCTGTTGTAGCTGGCAGGAGCACAGCACAATCCATACCCTAGAGGATCATAGCCCTGACTCTCCAATGCGACATGGCTCATCTGTGCCCAGGTAGAGTAGATTTCCGGGTTTCCATGGATCCACTTTGCTATTTCAACAGTGTAGGAATCACCTTGGTTTTCCACTGCAGAGTCCTTTAAATACTTCAGATTTGAAACGGGGTGAAAGAGAAAGCAGAACTGCAACCCAGTGCTCCTCTGACTCAACTACTTCATGTCAATAGAAGCCAGAAAAACAACAAACATGACGTTGCTCTTATCCTGAAAATCAACCATCTCTCTCGCCTGACTTTCAATACACCGCTTAGTTCAACTTACCCAGAGCATGCTTTTGTTGATAGTGAACCCTCCTTTTTAGCAAACCGTAGTGGCCGTAGCCAAGGGGACAGCCACATCTGCTCAGCCCGCTCAGGCTCACCCACTCCTCATCTCAGAGGACTCTAGCTGGGCACACTGCACCGTGAGACTCCTGTGTCCGGAGAGAAATCCCTGGGCCACAATACGAGAGACACATCAAAAGCTACCCTACATACATCTCTTTGCCCTAAAACGGCGATTGGAATTGACTTGGAGCTCCACCTCTCTCGCTTCTCTTTGCCAGCACAGCCAGACAGCCGCCCTGCATCGCCTGCCCCTCTCCAGAGGTCTTGGGGTGGGAAGGACGCCCACCTACCCCTCCTCCAGGAGCAGCCCTGCGGGGGGACCGGCCCGGGGGCTTTGCGGGCGGGCAGCTCCCCGGGGACAAGGCCGGGGACGGGGTCAGCGCCGCCTGCTCGGAGCCTGCCCGGCTGCTGGTTATTTATAGAGGCCGGGAGGAGCCAGGGAACGGGGCCAGCCTCCGCCGCCAGCCTCGCCCCGGGCTGCACCCTGCGCACAGAGGCAACAGGACGGGAGCTGGGGGTGAGCGGGGAGCTCGGGGGGGAGATGGGGATGGAGATGGGATGGGGATGGGGCTGCCGGCAGGATGCGGCCCCTCCAGGGTGGAGCAGGGCCGAGCAGGGCGGGGGGGGGGGGGGGGAGAAGCTGCAACCGCAGCCCCCCGGAGGCTGCCACCCTCCGGCGGAGCCCCCCACGGGGCTGTTTTGGGGAGAGCCTCCGAAGGGCTTGGGGGTGGTGGGGGAAGCAGCTCGGCACCCTCATCCCGGGAGGGGGCCGTGCGGCGGGTGCTGAGCGCTGGGTGCTGGCCACAGCCCGCAGTGGTTTCACCCTTTGCCCTCATGGCGTTGCAGGACGGGGTGGATTTCATTTCATGCCCTGTGCCAGCTCGTGTGTCCCTTGCCCTAAGGATCTCCTGCCCTGCGACCTCCGGCAGATGCCCTCTGTACACCCCAGAGGCCTCCAACGTGTCTCGCATTGAGGGAGAGGGGCACGTGGTGACCCGGCACGCTCAGCATGGCAGCTCCAGAGAGGTTCAGTGCTGCCCACCCTGGGGACCCCCAGCCTGGGGACCTGATCGAGATCTTCCGACCGGCTTACCAGCACTGGGCCCTCTACCTGGGGGACGGGTACATCATCAACGTGGCGCCTGTCGGTAAGGCTGGCACAGCCCGGAAAAGTGCAGTTTTAGGGTGTTTTGGGGGTGACTGGAGCCCTGCCTCCCTCTCAGGATAGGGGGTTGCGTGGCCTCAGCTCTCCTGGCAGCTCCGTGATGGAGCCTCGGTGATTTTAAATCCCATGAGGTGAAGCAGGGACGGGCTGGGTCTCCAGACCTTCTCTGCCACTTGGGAACATGCTCAGCACCACCCTGCGTGAGGGGCTTGGGCACCAGGGGAGGCTTGTGGCTCTGTGGGGATTGTATGCAGGGCTGTGTGGGTGCCTCCCCCCAAAGTCCTTTTGGGTTTTTGCTGCCCCCTTCACTCCTCCTGGAAATACACGCATACCCAGGGGCCCTGTGCAAATGCCAGAGATAGCAAGCACTTCAAGAGGCCAGCCAAAAACTCCTTTGGAGTCTCAGGGGGGCTGTATGGGGCTGGCCTGGCTCACCCCATGCCTGCCTCCCCCAGATGAGGGGCCCCCGGCCACGCTGGGCAGCGCCAAGTCAGTGTTCAGCCGAAAGGCCCTGGTGAGGATGCAGCTCCTGAAGGACGTGGTGGGAAATGACACTTACCAGATCAACAACAAGTACGACAGCACCTACGCTCCTCTCCCCGTGGAGGAGATCATCCGGCGGGCCGAGTACCTCATCAACGAGGAGGTGTCCTACGACCTGCTGGGCAACAACTGCGAGCACTTTGTGACACTGCTGCGCTACGGCGAGGGGGTCTCTGAGCAGGTAGGTGACATGGGGGAGCCCCCTACACACTTCTCCAGGCACCTCCTTGCAGAGTCTGCACAGAAATTCCTGTGGCACAGCCCCTACACTGCATGGGGACAGCAAAGCCCCAGGCCAGGGCCCAAACCTTCACAGCCTCACCACAGCCCCTGGGCCAGGTGGTTTGCTATGGTTTGTCTGCAGCCTGGCAGTGCCCCTCTTGCTCAGCCCAGAGGTAAGGGCATGAGGAACACCCCCACCCCCTTCTACTTATAGGGCAGTTGTCTCTTGCATTCACTTCATTGCCTTGATTAGCTCTGCCTGCTCTTCATTAGCGTGCCTGGAGGAGGAAATGCTCATCACGTTGCCAGCCTGTGTTTTGCTTCCCCCCTTTGCAGGCCAAACGAGCAATCGGTGCCATCGGGCTTGTCACAGCTGCTGCCGGTGCCTTCTCCCTGCTGGGCTTGTTACGGAGCCGATCCAGAGAGAGGCAGTACTGAGGGGCTGCCGGCAGGACACGGGGCATGTGGGGGCCACGGCCACCACCGAGACTCACTAATACCTGCGTGACCCTTGCTGAGGGCAGCGCTAGCCTGTTTGCCACAGCTGCTTTCACAACGCTGCCTGCGATGATTTTTGTGCTGACCTGGGAGCACTTGCAAGCAAGTTCTCCATCCTGACAGCTCAGGGGCTCTGCTGAGGGCTCCTACAGACTTCTGGCACACACCTTTCTACAGACTGGATCCTCTGGGCTTTCTGTGAATAACCTTTCTTAACCTTTGTGTAGAAACATTTTAACTTTTAAAAACTTTTTTCTTAAACAAAAGTGATGCAAAGCTATTGCTGACAGCTGTTGCGTGCCTTCCATCTGAGGGCCCATCCAGGTGGAACCCGGGTGCTGAGCCAGCAGGAGAGGCACATCCCAAACCTCAGAGCTTGTGCTGCTGTTCCCAAGCTCCGAGCTGCTTGTGCGAGGGCTGCTGGTGGTGTGGGGGGAGCAGGGCCTACGAGCTGCCTCCCTCAGTGTTTAAAATGGGTGCTTTGGTTTGGGTGTGGTGGTGCCTGGCTCTGTTTTCTCCTGCCTGTGAAAGTGTCCTTTTGTCTGACCTCCCTGACTCCCTTTGGGATCCGGAGGCGCCTGGTGTGGGCAGTCTGACAAAACGCCCAGGTAGTTTTGCCTCTGGCAGCTGTTTGCTCCACACTGGCACCGCTGTGCCACTGAACTTTCAGTCTCCATCTGTGTAAATGCAGCAGTTGTTGA